GACGCGGTTGAAAATCAAGAAAAGAGGGGAAATTCGATTCCAATTCTTGCGAAATTAAGTATGTGACGTGAGGAAAATGTGAATAAATAGAAATCCATTTCTTCCAGCCAAGTGTGTCACCCACTGGGCAAGGAACAAAGCTAAAGGAATAAGCAGTATATTAGGTCTCATGAAAATTGCCGAAGAACTAGAGGGAAGCAATGGATTCTTGTTCTCTGATGTGTCACCCAGAAGAGAACAAGAACAGGGGTGAATAGTTGGACGAAGTCGCTGGGTCATAGCTGCTGTCGTCACTGCCGTACCCACTGTTCTGTAGATGCGGCCACTGTGCTTGGCTCCACCTCCACCTTTCACTCAGGAGGGGAGCTCACCACTACCCTCGTGCTGCCTGCCGTGGATGCTAATGCCTCCGTCTCCACCTATTATACGGAGAGAGACTGGCCATCGCCGAGCCCTACGCCTCTTTGGGTCTCCCTCTCCAGCCCTGACCTCGGTTGGGGGAGGGGGAGGGGGAGGGGGCAGACCCCCTTCTCCCTCTCTACTTCACCTCCTCATGATGGGCTCCTATAAGTAGCCCAGTTTCAGGACCAGCCCTTCTGCCGTTTTTATGCATTTTCTCAAGATGTAAAACAAGTAAGAGTATTACCATGAGCTCAAAAATTAAGACATTTCACAAAAGTCTATGAAAATAGCTATTTAAATGCTGACTCATTATTTATGTTGCGAAGTTATTCTAACTCGTTTTAACTCATTTATGATTCAATTCGGAATATATTTTTCAACATAATTCAGCAAAACATAATGACTCATCTTATGAAAAAGGTGTTGTTATACCCAACTTGAATTATTACCACCCTCTTAGGATAAACATAGGAAAACTGAGTTCAGACCAATAGTAAATTCTGAATCATATGTTTCAAATAAGATTGATTTTCTAGAGAAGATCTTCAGTTCAGACATGCATCAAATTCTAGTGATGAGCCATATGAATAAATTTTTATTTTTGTTGTATGAGTGTTCCTATGGATACATTTCGAACTGCCTTTTAGTTCCTACATAGACTTTGCACACGCTCAAAAAGCATTGCACAACATATAGTCTAAAAGTTCCTATTTAGCATTTAAGATGGTTCTATATTCTCTAATCCTCAACCTTTTTCTCAAGATTCAAAGTTTGCTAGCCCTTTATTTTTATATATAAAATATAGTAAGAATAAGTAGCTTTTTCCTCATGTGTTTTTTTTAATTATTTTTTTTGTATTTTTTTTAAATTTAATAGGTTAGCTATTAGAGCTTTCACTTTGTTCCATTTCCATTCGCCTGGACAGGTAGCTTTTTCCCATACAAGATACGCTTTTCTATTTTTTTAGATAAGAAGGTAGATAGGCACTTCTAACAAAATTTCTTACTTTGAAGCTTCACACTACAAGTCCTTTACTCTAGTGAATATACATGAGGATTTTGGACTTCTCCACCTTTCTCTACTTGAGAAAAGAAGAATCTTGCTCAAGCTCAACAATTCAATGAGGCTTCCAATATCTATTAGATGTTGTCTACTGAACCATAAACTATAGGTCTCATCAAATATGAAATTGAAAATTTTCATGCACCTAAAAAATAATCTAATGACTTCAATTACTACAACTCTTTTTAAAAATTTTACAGTTATTTATCAAACATGCCATAAGATGCAATAAGTTCACTAAAATTGACCCTTAAATGCAACACAACATGAATACTATCAAGCTTATTACACTACTAGTTTCATCAAAATATTTCAAGTAAAAATTTCAAAACATTTAGGTGATTTCAAATAGGAATTTTTCTAACTTGTGTCCTAGTGTGCACTTGTCATTATGTTTAAATACATACTATCTAATAATATTTATAACTAAGACTTAATAAAATACTAATATAGAAGTAAGTCTCAAGTTGAACATAGGGAGATTGATTAATCCATCGTGAAAACTAATTTATATATAAAGTGATTTTAATATTTTATTAATACTTAACATAAATAATAAAATAGAAGGGTGAGGTGAGAAGAATAAAGGAACGGAAGCAGAGAAAAGGAAGGAGGAAAAGAGAGAGAGAAGAGAGCTCTCACAAGAGAGAGAAAGGAGAGCTCTCATGAGAGAGAGAAGGGATGAGATCTCTTGTGAAAGGGATAAAAAGAGAGAGGAGGAGAGAAATCTCACATAAGACAAAGAGAGAGAAAAGTCTCATGAGAGATAGAAAGAGAAGGAGAAAGAGGAAGATTGATCTAGAGAGAGAAAGAGAAGGAGATCGATCGAGAGAGAGGGAGAGAAAGGGAGAGATCTCATGAGAGACAGAGAGAGAAGAAAGATCTCACAAGAGAGGGAGAGAGATAAATAAGACAAAATGAAGGAAGAGAGAAATACAGTCAACCCATTTTCTCTACGAATGTGTGCTCAAGGATTCACACACATGACATGAGGTCAGCTGTGAATGTCTTCAACTTATTTTAACCATTGAACACTCATTAATCAGTCTTTAATCTTGGTGATTTCACATTTGAAAATAGAAAAATACTCGTTATTCTTGGAACACTGGGAGCATGAATATGTTGAGATTCAACTGAAAAAATTAATAGAAAATAAGTTGGAAATAATCTTAACTTGATCTTAGATAAGTTTCAGAGGATTTAAAAGAAGAAGAAAGATCATTCATCAAGTTTTGAATTAGTTCTCCTTATTTCAATCGAAACGTACATGAAATGGAAATAGCTTGCCGTAAAATGTAAATAAATGACAAAAGCAAGTAAGTAAATGTTGAAAGTAGGAAATAAATTGTTGCCCAAATTTAGTCTACCTCCTAGGCAACTAGAGACACCGGTGTGGCAGCTTGGTTTCATTCGATCGTGTCACACCACATCAGAAGTCAGAAGTGCTGCATTGCTTGTCGGAGAGATCTATCAAAAGAAGGGTCGACCACACTATCACCATCATCTGGGGGAAGAGCTGACCCCTCGCTAGAGGACTTGAGTGTAGTTAGGGGAGGAAGGAAAAAGTTTGTCAATCGTTGGAGACATCGATCACGCAAAAAGAGAGAAGAACGAATTGTCATATTCGCAACTCCATTGGGATTTTAAAGATAATCGATAATATCTATTTTATCAGACAATAATTGATTATTGTTTGTACGTCCTTAACGATGATATATGTGAGAACTTAAGTTCCCGGTATCGTGGCACTTCGAGAGCCACTAGATCAGATGAGCTTGGTCATGTGGCTCTCTAAGTGATGCAACATCAACCCGCCGTGAACTGTTGTCAATCGAGAACTTAAGTTTCCATATTATGACGTCTCCATAGTCATCAGATCGGCCTTTAAGACCACGTGTGTGCTGAGCAGCATCGGATTCGCGAATCGTCGATGAATCACTTTATGCATCTAGTATCGTGGCGGTTCACTAGTCGCAAGATCAGGCTAATTGGATGACATGGCTCTTTGCATACCACTAGATCACACTACACTCTAGATGGCTGTAAAATAGATGAAAACATTTAGTCCCACATCAGAAATATTTTGGAACATATGTCGAATATAAACTAAAGCTACGTCTCTCAGCAAAGATCCCTTCTCTTGAACTAAAATAATGTCTAGGACCATCTTGGGAGAAGGCAATAAGGTGGTCCGCCCTCACGCACACATGTGTGTACGAGCGCTCCTTGCCCCACAACCGGTTGGCCACCAAGACGTGGAAGGGGAGCGACACACACGTGCGCGGAGCGAGGCCTTCACCACTTGAGCCCAACTTGTGGCTCCCTCAGTCTGGGTCTACCCACTCAGACTGAGTGCCGACTTGCTAGCGGGCAGAAGAATTTTTATATTTTATTACTTTTACTTTAATAATCAAAAATTACGCCAAGTATTCTAACTTCAAACTTTTAAAATTAACAATATATTCTATGTTTATTCTACACATTAACAAAATCAAATCAAATAATAAAATTAATTAAAACACATAAATCTAGCTTTAACATGTCCCACCCCTCAACTTGACATTGTCCTCAATGACATAAAAATCTTACAATTAAAATGTTTATAGTCAGCTACCTCTCACTCAACACTAATTATAACATCTTCAGTTAGATGTTAGATGTCCCTTCAATTCTTTTTGCTATGAGTCATTCAAAATTTGAAGTTCTTTAAAGTTATCAATTGAGAGAACTTCATGGTTGAATGATACAAAGGCAACATCCCAAAGAGTGAGGTTTAAGCTAAAAAATGTCTTTCTTGACTAAACCAAAGTGCTAATGTCTTCCACATTAAGCCAATATTAGTTAAGAAGTAGATATATATAATCAAGTATCCAACCTCATCCTTTTCATAAGAAATCTAGACACATTTCAAGTCACACGTTCTTCTAGAGTCAACCCATAATGAAATCTTTCTCTATTTCATATGAATAAATTTGTGACTAAATCTTAATTTAATCACTCAAATAAGTTGTCCTACAATCAGCTACTGGCCATCTAGTGCCACGAAATTCGATGGGAGATGAATCTATTAGTTAGTTGTTGTGATTTAAGGACAATAGGTCTATTGGAACCCAAGATGTTTGTTTTTGGAGAGTGAATGAAAGCAGGGTGCCAAATGATTGCAAAATCAATGGGTCTTTTACCATTAGATCTTTAGGATAGTGTACAATTCAGTCCTTACAATAAAAAAATCTGACATTTTAGAAAAAGTTGATTGAATAAAGATTAAACAAAAATCAATCAACACCTCTCTCTTGATATATGTATAACCTAAAGGCCAACAAAATATATTAGGTTTTATTGTTCTTAGCTTCTGTCATATACAATAGTATATCTTGCTACTGGCTCCTACTAAATGTACTAAGTTACTTTGTTATTTATTTATCATTGTTATATTATATTAAAGTTCATATAATGACTGGCCGTAAGTGACCTTTTCTCCACTCTCCCTCTTGTCTGCTCTAATAACACTTTATATGACATCATTCCTAGAGATTTTACAAAAGGGTTATATACCCATTGGTTATCATCCATTGGAGGCTCCAATGGTTGTTTACATTTTTATAGGTCCAATACGCCCACCCAAAGGAGGCATTATTGAAGACCTTCTGCTGCGCTTCAGCAAACCTCCGGTAGTCATCTGGCGTCGCACCAATTACGTTCCACTCGGCAACCCATTCCCCTACAGCCACAACGATAATAAATGGTGTAAGATATAAGAAAAACTATTCCAACGTCCATGGTGGCTCGGTTTTGGTGACTCTTACCAACGAAAGAGAGAGGGCCCCCATTGGACTTGGTGAGGGCAGCGAGCTGGCTGGCCCTATCTTTGTACACGTAGTTGATATTCTGCTGCGCCGTCCATCCAAGAAACATGATGGAGTAAACATGGTAGTAGTGAACGTCGAGGACGGTGCCGTCGAGGCTGCTGGCAAACGGAATGAACTCCGTATCGTCAGCGGACAACCGAGCGGACATGATCACATAGGCAGTGGTTGTGTGCCTACGCACGGCGTCGTAGCCAGCCTGGTAGTAGCTCTTCAGTTTGTCAAATGGGACCCCTTCTGCCCTCGGTTCGTTGATGAGCTCCACTGCAATCAGGCTGGGTCTTCCGGCATACCTGTCGGCGGTCTTTCCACGATTAGAAAACTTTCTTCAATCATACAAAGATTCAATCGAGTTATTCAATATTGCGAACGTCAACCTCTGGCTGAGGAACTCAATGACAGACACCGTCTTTTCTACGCTGCCGGCGGCCACCCCCCACTCGATGCGACCATCTCTAGTGCCGCTGTGCTCATAACCATTTTGGGAACCCGGGGCAGCGTGAAGGTTGATGATCACCTTAAGGCCATACTTACTGGACATAGCGAAACCATTTCGTCATCATCTATTGAGCAAGGGGAAGTTTCCTAGGATTAATTTTGCTTACTCTGCCCAGGAGAATGCATTGTCCAGAGCTGCCAGGGAACCACCCACAAACGGTGGCGGTGGAGTAGGGTCGCTGGCGATCCACCACCCCACCGGAATCCTGACCGTGTTGAGCCCCTTGTCTTTCATAAATTTGAAGTCCTGCTCAACGATAAAACTCTGCCAGTGCTCCTGCGACAGAAGCATCACAGTTTCCACCTTTGGTGTGAAGATCTTCACTAAAAAAGGAGAGGAGGGAGGGGGGTCATCTTTTCCTCACCCTCATGACCGTGGGGGCCCTGCTGGGACCGTAGCCGTTGGTCACCTGGTACTCCCCTCGCATGGTCCCCAAATTCCTCATCCAGAACACTGATGGATCGTCATTTCCCCAGCTGCTATTGCCGGTGAAGTCCGCGGTCACGGAACTCTCCGTCCTGGCCTGCAAGAAGAGCCCGTTGGATGCCCTGATGCGGACTCGGTTGGGGTCCCCTGTGTTCCTCACAATCTCAAAGGTCTCCAAAGGTCCTGGCTGCGTTATTACAGCTACCGCTTTGCCGCCGGTGTTCACACCGACAAATTGCTTCAAGAAAACCCGGAACTGGAAGTGGGTCGAGTCGACCCTCCATAGCTGTGATTTCAGGTGGAGCCATCAGGTTAGCCTCTTTTCATCTCAAACATCCTTCGTTCTTATAAATGTCAGTAATAAAGTGTGCGATATAAATCTCGAATAATGATATGAACAAAGTCACCAACTGTGAAGGTTTCCCAGCCAGAGGGGAGGAACCGATTAGCCACGATGATGCTCCCGCCACCGTTCTCAGCAGAGAGGTACTTCCCACGAGCGACAGAGAACACTTGGATTTGGGTTCCATCCTGCCACCCATTTAATCCGACCTCAATACAGGTAGATACCATACCAACTGATAAATGGAACATTATTGAGACTCACCAGAAGATCTTTGTTAATGATCCCGTCGAAGAGGGATGGCTTTATCCATCCCTCGGTAACAAGCCATCCACCCAAATTTACAGCCTTTATGACGGCTGGAGGACGCACTGTGACGGTGGAGATAGGTTTGAGTGGAGAGATCAGGAAGAAAAAGAAGATAAGGGCTCTTAGGCATCTCATGATAGAGTTCTTTACAATGATCAGAAGCAACCGTCTAAAGTGGTCATTTTATAGGCGTCATATGACCTCCGCCGCCCAATAAAAGTGTAGGAACTACTTGATGAGGATTAATTTCAGGCACGGTCTCTGCTCAATAGATAATCGAAATAAGGTGTCCGTTTATATTTGGAAAGTCAAAGCCAACTGGGTAAACCTGGTCAGAAGGCGGGACTGGACAGGTGCCGACCGTATTAAAAGTTGCTTTTATTTGGCATTGATTGCGCGAAGGAATGTCTCCAACTCGATTATTTTCCGTATTTCCTACCAGAAATCGATAATAGTATGTCGGGTGGAATAATGTTAGTGCAAAGATGATCGTTGCTCGCCCTCGCTTATCGATTGGGTGTTTTTCTATCCACTGGGGGGTTGATAAGCATCGATTAATGGCCTCTTGCCTAGCATTGATGAATCAAAAATAGGTCGTCGTTGACAAAACTGTGGATGCAACATCCATGATCCTTCTAGAGATTACGGTTTATACGGAGTCAACAGGTTCATGAACCCGATCTTCTTCAGGATTAAATATTTGGTCCATCGTTAATGACCACCAAAGCTGTGATTTCATGTCGAGTCAGAAGATTAGCCACTTTTCCTCTCCATCATTACTATACATATCAGTAATGAGGTATGTAATAAAAATCTTAGATATTTATATAACAAACTTTGAACCGCTCCCAACTAGCAGGGATACCTTGATTATTTTAAACACTTTATCCATCCCTCATTAATGAGCCACCCACCCAATTTTACAGTGTTTTTGATGGCGGGTGGGGCATTGCGGAATTGAGAGGGGGTTAGTTAGGAGATGAAGACCAAAAAGAGGACAAGGGCTCCTACGCATCCCATGTTCGAGTTGTCACGGGATCAAGGTAGGCCTCATGTTTTTTCTCACTTCGAACCTGCCTTTGACACCACACCGGCACCAAGCCACCTCGTCACGTTACGTGGGAGACTTCTTCCCAATGGATAGTATATTCTCTCTAATAGAACAAAGGTTGAGGAGGGAGGAAGACATCAGTTCACCCTTTGATGCATGAACCCCCTCTACATTAGCAAAGATAAACCCTCCTGTAAGTTTGTGATATCATTATTATATAAATTAGCCAGTTAATAATCGACTTAAAAATTGAGTTCTCCCTTTCACTATCTAAAGTAAAAACCAGGCTTTAGAATATGTGAACAATAACTTCAGCAAGATAACAGCCAACCAACCCAGCATATAAATGCACAGCCCTCACCCACCATCTCTCTCTCTCTCTCTCTCTCTCTCTCTCTCTCTCTCTCTCTCATGAAGCAACCAGCCATAATGGTGGAGCATCACCTTGCTCCAACTAGCTATTTGCCTAGCAAACTTCTTACTCCATCCGAACCCTGAACAAGAGCAAGAAATAGTTTCAGACGAACGCACTGGCAGGGTTGTCAGCCACCTTCCCAGAGCCCAACCGGCCATACCATTAAGTGCCTGATAGATAATCTGACTCCCAAGGAACTCATTGACGACCTTGCTGCCACCGTCACTACTTCCTATCAGTGCAGAACATAAAAGCCTTCTTCTTTGGCACACACCGATAATGGTATTTTTAAATAATAATTGAGGTGAAATCAAAATATTTTTCGTATGAATTAACATAAAACACGAATTATTCAAGTTGAAAATATTAGTACTCACTTGAGAGTAATGTGATGAATTTATGTTTCATTTACTAATTTTTATGATTTGTGTGAAATTAATATATTTCTTATTTTCAATTCATGTGCTAACATGATTATCCAAATTTTATAGTCTTCAGAATTATTTTATAATTTAAAAGAAATTACTCAAGAAGTTTAAATTAGAAAATGGATTTATCTTGGACTTTTTAGGAAATTTATGAAGATATTTTTTCAGCCATTTTTAAGTAATTTAGAAATTATCAATATAATGAGAAAAAAAATATAGTGATTCATGGCCACATCACGAGGACCTGTCAAGGGTTCATGGGCCAAGTCACTATTTTGAGGCCACGCAACAGGTTTTCCCATGTCATTCATGTACACTTTGCCTTCCATGCTCTATTTTTCGGTGATGAAATAGATGGAGATAAGTTTGGATTTCATCATGGTTTTTGAGATATTATTGCATGAAAATTAGAAAGAAGCTCAAGGGCAAAGTAAAGATGGATTATTAGAGGAATTTCCAAGCTTTATGAGCCAAGTTCTCTCCGAGTGACTGGCAGAGATGGGTGGGGTGATGTTGGGCACTTACAAATTCAATTTCTATTTTTATTGAATTTTATTTTTGTTCTTTCTTAATCCGTCATCTAGTGACAAGCAGATGACGAGATTAAGGCTTTTGATCCATTTTTTTACCACTTTTTGGATGATTTAGAATTCATTTTCTAGTACTCTATTTTTGAGTGACAAATGAATGGAGTGACAGTGTATGTGAATTAGATATCCATTTAGATTTTATTTATTTTTATTTTAGCTTATTTTACATCTAGGTGATAGGCAAATGACACAAGATTAAGAATTTTATTCCATAAGTTTATTGCTTTTCAATGGCTTTTCCATTCCATTTTATTACTGCAACATTACTCTATCCCTGGTGAGATAGGGAGGAGTTCATGCATTTTTTTTATTATTATTATTATTATTCTTGTAATTTTAATGATTATAATGAAAGTTAACTTGGTTTCGATCAAATTGATTATTTTCATAGAACAGTCGACTCTTATACAGATTTGAATCGAGAACATTTTCCCATTTTTTCACTAGTAGAGGGACCCTGCTGATGGATGACTTTAGGTTTCAGTTTTCTTTTTAGTAGTTATTTTCACGAATTTAGTTTATGTGATGGGCATTTACTGAGTTAAGATCATTTAGATCAATCTATTTTGAACAATTACTCAGTTTTCCATATAAGGATTCAGTCTAAATACTTTTCCGTTTCACTACCTATAGTGTTTCCTTGCCAACAGTCGTATTTTCTCTCTCCTCCCTATTTTTGTTGATTTTACATTTATTTTCCGTCATTTAATTTTCTCTTTTGTGATTTTCTCTGCTATTTTCTCTTCTTTATTTTACAAGTCTTGAGCCATTTATCAATTCTAAACATGGGAACACATAAAAATTTAAAGATTTAGAGCTCAAGTAATTTGAAAGATTTAAAGTTCAGAGAAGGTTATTTTAATTTATTTTATTTGTTATAATTATTTATTTTTATTTAAATAAATTATTTAGAACTAAAACATTCATATTTAGATTGAGCATCATCTCTGTGAATAAGCTGAATTCACCAAATTTTAATTTTAATTTATTTTTTACTGAATTTATAAATATTTAAAATTCAATCAATTTGTTTACAACGACCAAAGTGATATCACACACCTTGACTACCCCTTCCTCTCCACCATCATCACCACCGCCTAATCCCCATCATCAACATTCCTTGCCGTCAATCCACTCTTGGTCAACCTATTGGAGAGAACAGTGCAGCTGAGGTTCCAATTTCAAGGGAGGAGGGGAGAAGCTATTGATTTCCTTTATGGTGCATTTCCAATCTTCATTGTAGGAGGCCGATTTCTTCAGACCATGCCCAGTTGCTACTGCAATGGTCTTGTCACTGGAGATGAACTCCACAATGCTCCTGCTGAAGCACTCCTTGTTCTCATGCTATGGGTTCCTGGAGTGGGGATTCTCTGACATATAGTGGATCTCCTCGTCACACTTCACCGCCTGCTGACAAAGCCCGCTGCCCTTGTGGAGCTTTCCAAGCCCCTCTGGATGCTGGTGTTGGAAGCACTCGAAACAAAGCTTGGCAGCACTGCCACCATTGCAGAGTCCCTCAGCAGGCCACTTGATGTAATGGATGAGAATTAGACTGTTTGGCCAAAATTCACAAGGATTTTAAAAAAAGTGAAAGCTAATTTTGGATAGATCTAAATTCACCCGATAAAAGGAGCTTAAAGGGTCAGGTGATTCATAAAAACCACTTAGTATGATACTTTCTCTTTTAATAAATCAGACTTTACTTGATCATGTTTAGAAACCAATAGAAGAATTTTCAAGGGTTGTCATATGGCTCTCAAAAACCTGGAGCAAGAAGATATATTAGAAGAACAAGTCATAATGGATTAGAGTTCAGTTTGGAGTACCTTTGGACAAGTTTCACTTGTTCCTTCATAAATGGTCAATAGTGCGTAAATGGAGCATATTGCCTAGTTTTCAGAGGATAAAATGATTCTTGTTTTGTCCTATTAATTTTGGCTAGGAGCTGACTAAATTTTTCAGTTATCTTTTCTATATTTGCCAAGTTATCTTGTTTCTTATGAATTTCGTTCACTTAGGCTCCTAGCTCCTTGTCTTCATATCTTGGTATTTTATAAATTCCAACCCACTTAGAAGGTTCATTGTTTCTCTCATATTATGACAATGAAGCATAGTGCAAAGAATTTTCACTAAGATCACTGTTTTGTTTATGAAAATTACTCCCCTTGAGATATCAACCATTTGGCTATATTTTTCTGTTAATCCATCATAAAAAATTCATACGATCTCCCATGTTGGTATCTCATGATGTGGACACTTTCTTAATAATTCTTTCATTCTTCCTCATGATTCATGAAGTGATTCTCCAAGATTTTGATTACATCTAAGGATTTGGTTTCTCATCTTCATGTTTCTCACTCTAGGATAAAATATATTGAGGAATATTTGTGACATTTCTGACCATGTTCTAATCTTTTCCTCTATGATATATTACCACTATTTAGCTATATATTTCAATGAAAATGGAAGCAGAAGCAATTTAAGAGTACCCTCTGAAAGATTTTGGAAACTTGCAGTATAACATATTCTCAAGAAAATTTCAACATGCTCATATGGATTTTCATTCATACTTTTATTAAAAATGGGAGTATTGGTATGATATCATTATCAACTTTAACATCTTTGGGAAGCTGCAATAAGATGGAGGTTCTTGAATAAAATAATCATACATTGATTCCATATCTTTATTAACTATGCCTAGAGAAAAATGATCTTTCAATTTTTAAACCTAGCTCCAATAATGCTGAGTTCAATGATTTTCTGATATGCATACTCAAGAAGTAAGTTTTTCTTCTAGTTTTTTTATTTATTTCTTTTGATGATGAGAAAGTACTAATTTTTTTATATCAAATGAGAAAATTGTGTAAATAAAGGGAAGAGAAGAACTTTTAAGAACTAAAGAAAGAAAATAAAAAAAATGGAATATTATTTTTCGTAAGATGAGCAAGCATTAATCTCTAGAAAATAAGTTCAAAGCAGAAAGTAAGCTAAAAGGATGAGTTTCCAATGAGTTGCCCAAGTCGTTTCTCTAAATCCTCAAATTTTCCATGTCTCTCTTGGGTCCTCCCACATCAAGCTTGGTCAAGTTTTGTTTCTTTAATACCTAAAGAGAAGAAGAATGAAATCAAAAATTAGTACTTAACCAAGTCAAAGAACAAAGAAATTAACATTGTATTGAGAATAATCATCCTCAACAATGACATAAAAATTTGATGATCTTTTAGTCATTGAATTAAAGATGCCAAATTTTAATATTAATAAGAAAATTAGAATATGGATTTAGCTTTAAAATTCAGGTGAGCTCAAGTTAAAGAGAATGAAAAGAGCTGCAAGAGATTTTGTCCTTATACAAGAGATTCTTAGCTATTATTGTCACATCTCTTCATCCAAGAAGATAGCAACAATCAACTGCTTAATGAATGGGGAAAGAAGAGTAGGGGATCATTTAAACGGTGTTCAGAGTTTGAATCAAAATATAAGACATCATTTCTATAGTAAGAAAATAAATTCAAATATGATTAAAATAAGATGGTCCTTGTCTATCAACCAAGGACAAGAAAACGAAGATGCTGAAGCTAAATCTATGCATAAAGCAAACTAGAGAATTAAATCCACATGTTCGATAGTCTTGTTTTGTTCCATGCTTGTCATTCACACAACTAAACCTAGGAAGCCAACACACAAATAAACTGAAAACAAGTTCAGCCTATGGATCCCCCTACTTTGATGCTCCTTCAACCCCCTCTAAGGCAGGAGTGGATCTTGGTCACTAGAAGTGGGGAATCCAGCCATTGCCATGCTTCACACGTGGGAAATAAGCTCCGTCCACCATAACAGCCACCATCACTGCTGTGCTACTGTGCTACTGTGCTGTCTTTAGCATTGCAGCTGTGCTTACCTCCACCTATCACAGGAGTGGAGCTCAATACTACTGCCACTGACGTCTATGCCATCATCCACCATGCTAGCCTCCACTAGTCAGATGGAGGGAGGCACACCATTGCCACCATCATCATGCCCTGGTTCTCTCTCCATCAAGGTCTCCCCTTTTCTCCATCTCCTTCTCCCTTAACCCCCCCCCCCCCCCTCCTCCAATCATAATGGGCCAAGTATGGGGCCAGATATCAGGTTTGAAATAATCAGCCCACTAGCAAGCCACATATTTCTCTATAAATTCAAATAAATCGAGGGAAATTATAATCTTTGTACTTCTTATTTTTTCCTCTACTCTTCCTTATCAATTAAAAAATTCCTCAAGGTATATGTTAATAAATGAAATAACTTTGGTGTAATATGTCTTAAAATCTATTTAGTAGTTTTCATTCAATTTTATTACGTTTGACATTAATTAATGTGATTATTATCATTTTTCTTTTATTGACCTATAAAAATTAAGCATTATCAATAATATCTCACATTTAATTTGCCATTATACTTCATAGAGATTAGATTTATTAAGATCATACTTGTTTCAAAATCATTATTTTTTATAAATATTTTCACTAATTCGAGAAATCAATCTCTTTCTATCATGATTTATTTAGAAAAATTTTCTCTAAAGGCATCTAAAATAGCATGCTTTATAATCATGAGACTCGTGATTTGATGAATCCATCTATATTGTCCTCAAAATCTACAGGTCAATCTATCCTTAGCGCAAGGTTCATATTTATAACACCAAGGACAATCATAATAATCTCATTCTATACTTTAAAATTTGTACCATTAATCATAATAATTAAGTTAATGTTCACAAAAATAATTGAAGCAAAACTTAAAACTATATAAAGAACAATATAAAAATTTACATAAACTTGATTTCAAATAATATTACTTCTCGTGACAAAGTATTATTTATAATATTAATAATGTATCTAGTTGCTAATATGAATTTTAAATGATATCTTCTTGTGATCAATAAATATTGATGATAAATTTCTGTCAAGTAGTAAGTTTTCTATGGAGCAAAGTTATTATTCACATCAAAAACTAAATAATTGTCACATATTTATTATCAAAATGATATGTAATTCTGTCAAATACTAAACAATATTTTGGGTTAATTAGTGCCTACATAAGCAACTATCTTAATATCCAAAAATAATCAATTTCCACGAGAGAGCCTAGCTTAGTAGGATGTTGTGTCAATTAATTTATCCAAAAAGAAAATATATGTACTAAAATTTGAGACATGAAAGTTATTTGATATCTTATTATGTTCAATACTAACATAATAATTGATAAATCAAATAAATTCATCTATAATTTCTGAAATAAACTCTAATGCACTCTATCCATTTTGTGGCCTATGATATATGGATCACCTTTCAAAGTTGACAAGAGTAGTTCATCACATAAGCACACTCCTCAATCGAACCCTTTCTCTTCCGGTGTAGCACATTCAATCAAGGTCAGAGTTTCCTCGTTCTTTCTTGATTGAACCCTCCAGTCGCATAATTTCTGAAATAACTCAACATCAGCAGGCGCAGCTCCCTCCCCCGCTGAACCGGCGCGGTGAGCCCGAACCGCCCATATTCGGCCCAATTGGCCAGTCCCACCCTCCTAAGGCCCAAAAGCCCAATACGGTTTCCGTTCCAAACGGAACCGGTGAGGCCGAGCCCTAGGTCCGTTCCCGCGCGGTTCCCCTTCATCCTCCGACTCCTCCCGCTTCCGACCCCGCCTTCCGGCGCCGTCTCCTCCGCTGCCGTCTTTCACCACCTCCTCTCCTTCCGGGATCGCCTCCGGCTCCGGCGCTTAGTACTGCCTTCCGGTGTTTGAAACCGCCGTCCGCCACCCTCCCTCCTACCGTCTAACGACGAAAGAGGGGAAAAAGAGGTGAGTCCACCTGCAGCCCCCTTTGTTTATATAGGTTTCGGGGCAGCCCCCTTTGAGTTCTTGAATGTGTCCCATTTTTTGCTTATCTACGTTAAGGAAGGAATTATTCGGGAGCTCACTCTGTGGGCCTTTTCGTTTCTTGTTCTTTTCAGATGGCAATGAGGGGAAGAGGACGTGGGAGCAGAGGGCGCGGTTTTGGCTCTCAGTTTGAACATCGTTTTGCCAAGCACGAGCCTTACGTTCTTTTCCCAGTGAGTTGGTGCTTAGATTAGTGGTTCCTATAAACACTAGATCATATTGTCAATTTTTATTTTTTTCACACAGTAAATGACTACACGTTGGATTCACAAGAATGCTTTGAGATCCTGATGTCCACAGAACTAGAGATTTCTCAGCATACTGCTTGATGAAATTTCGATGTATTTTCTTAATTAAATTTTCATATGCTTAATCCAATGAAAAATTGGAGGAAATTTGTAAGAACATTTTGAACTAGTGCCTCACTAATGTACTGTTTCATCGAGTTTAAGGCATGATTTCATGTTCTTGCCTCTACATTGGCTCAGTTAATTATCTTAGGTTAATGTTCTACTCGGGTTAATTATTTATCCGAAAAATATTTGAACATATAGTTGAAGTTTTCTTGGCCCCCCCACTTACTACGAGTTTTTCTTTCTTTATTCCAAGTCATTTCATGATGATGTTTCTTAAACTCCCTGAGGATTGAAAAACTGCGGTGTGCATCTCCTAATTTCCAGTCTCTGTTCTTCTGTCAATCATCCACTAGGACAGTGCTTGTTATCCCGTCGTCCATTTTCTACAGAGGCACATCCAACGTGCTGGACAGAAGAAGGCTACTCAAGTCGAAGCTTGAAATGTGTTGTTACATTCATTTAAGACTGGAGTTTCTTCTCGGCCATTAAAAAATTCCCCAATTGCGGATGTCTCCTTCGTTGCACTTCATCTCTCCTGGCCATTTTTCATTCCATTCCCCTATGACCACCTTTATCTTTTTTGCTCCCAATGTGTTGGAATGCTTGCATGCATCAACAGCACTTGCCCTCTTTCCCACTCTTAGGTTGGTATAGCAGGACTTGGGTGCCCGATTCATCTTCACTGGTAACAGCCTCTACATTGGATCCCCTATCTGTTGTATGGAACCACAAGATACTTCATACGTTGCTTAAAAATCTTCACTTCAGTGTCACCCATTATTTTCTTTTGGTTGCATTCCCATTTTTGCAAAAGCACAGTGTAGTCCACAGGTTAATCGTGGGAGACTAGCTCTGATGGTAAGGTTGAATATATTCCCCACAGTAAATTTTTCATAATTAATTTGAACATTGTGGCTTGCCCTTTGAGGACTATTTCTATGAGCATCAGACCTTCCACTATTCACTCTTTGTCCTCTGGAGAACAACATGACAAAGATTCAAAGAAAAAGTCAAATTATTGTTATACATGAGGACAAAATTTAAAATTGTTGTTCCTGATCAGCCGTTGCCTTGTTTGCCTCAAGATTTTTGAGAAACTACTATAAAATTTAGAAAATAGTACTAGTGAATCTTAATCATTGTGACTTTTATGCGTGCAGGAATTTATTGGGAAGCTCCTACTAGACATAATTTGGTTTTGTTTCTCTACCTCTGATCACTATACAGAGGAGCTTTTTTGCTAGAGACTCATGTCATTATTGACCATACACTTCTTAGCTCACATGATTTTTATGGTTAAACATTTTTTCTTAATGTTCATGTGTGGTTCATTAATATAGTTTGCATGCTGCTTTTCCAGGAGATCACCTTCTCCATCTCGCTTAAATTATTTTTTCTTTTTACTATTTTATTTAGAATAAAAAAATTAATGTAATATATTGAGAACTCCATTCTTTGTTCTTTTTTATGCATTTACAGGAAATTGGAAACCTACCAAACATATCATATGTCACTAGTGTACAGAAGGACTACTATCGACTTATCAATTATAAATTGAAGTTGGAAAACTTTTGGAAAGGTTCATGCTATCATCTGGAGGAGTCTGGTAAAAAATTAAGTAAGTTTTAGATCATTAATCGATCCTTGTTTATGAGCTCATATGAATTATTTGACCATTGTAGTTATAGAAGATAATAAGTGAATAGATTAGGATTGTTTCATGTTGAAGTTCACCACCTTAAGCTCTCTTTAGTTCCAATCTATTCTTTGTAACCATATAATAAAAGTTGTTAAACTATACTTCCAAATGTCTAACAGGATACTCGATTCGTTGCTAATTCATTGAATAGGTACACACCATCTTTGCTTGTAGTTTTTCTCAAGAATTTGTACTTCATCCTAACTTTGGTATTTTTCTTCTTTTAATTTAGTATAATATATTTAATTCGAATGCTAATATCATGTTGTTTTCCAGTTTAATTATATTTGATGACTAGTTTTGTCCACATATCTACAGTCTCGTTATCTGATTCCCTTTATCGTTTTGGTTGTGGGATTAGAAAATCCACAAGGTGCAGATATAGAACGATATTCTGACAGGGGGAAGCAAAAAAACCAGATGAAACGGGAAGCTCTTGAGTCTTACTTGAAGTTACTTCCTTCTAATTTTCCCACTGAACTGATTCAAGGTTTGTGATCTTATCCTGATTGGTGGGCTTTAGTTGGCTAATGACTTTAAATTAGATAGTGTTGCTTACTTCTGATTCTAATTCCACGTTCTGCTCCTTATATTTGGGATTTTAGGGTCAAAAAGAATTCAACGAGATAAGAAGAAATTACGGTGGGATGGAGATTCAGGTTCAATCAAAACTCACTTTCTTTCTCATTATAATCTCTTTAATGTTATGAATAGTTTCCTTTCTCCTAAATTCGTTTAATAAATGACTAAGGGAAATAAGTGAACAATATAATCTGAGTTTCTTTGATCTCTGGGGTAGGTCTTTTCTTGGATATGCTCTTACTTGAATCTGGGATCAAAATCTGCAAGTTCTTCATTCTCGTCGAGTTTTCCATTTTTCTTTTTGTGAAAAGTCGGTTGTCTGGACAAATGAATTTGACACTAATGTTATCATGCCAATTAATCAAAAGTCTGGAAAAAAGCTTATACATTGTGTTACCATTTTTATCATCACCTAATCCAGATGTCTAGGATGATTCTCACTGTGCTCTTTATCCAGTAATTTTCATACGATGGGGGCATATAAATAGATAATACTGTTTATTTGTGTCATAAGACTCGTGCCCATTCAGAAGCAAAAAATTATCGGCTAAAGTATGCTCGAATTTTGAAGTTCTTTTGTCACTCATGAGTATGCGTTTTATTTGGAAATTCGCTTGGTCTATCTCGATGAATTATTGATACTTTAATTAGATCAGGGTTGAAAGTCTAAAGTGCTGAAACCTACAATGTTTATATCTATTTTCTTTAAACAGTAAATGGGGCCCACAACTTTCTTCCGATAAATATTGTCAAAATGAGTTAACCCCTACATGTTGTGGCTCACGACAGAAAGGTTCAAGAGCCTCCTGTATATCTACTATGTAGAGTCATACCAGCCTGGTTTAACCTTTCTAATGCTTTTTTTTCACTAGTGTTCGGAAAAAGGGAACAAGAATTGCATTGTATTCATGGAATTTGGCAGATGAACAAAGATCATAAAATCAAATGAAGTGAAAAGTGAAATTTAATCAACTTAAAATTAAATCAGCGTTTGTTCTTTTGATGGAGATGCTTGTGGATGCGGGTTTGTGTTATGAATTTCTTCTTAATGGTGCATGACTTCACGTCAACAACAATCGCATTGAGGGCTTGTCCAACATCACAATGATTGTCCCTTGGTTAGATTTTTTTCATGTTGTTTTGCCTTTAGTTGATTTCCAACTCCCATCCACTGTGCTTTAGTAAATTCCTCGGGTAGAGATCTCAGACTATATGTATGTCAGATTAATTAATAAAAACCTGTAGAAAAGAAAAGGAATGAAATGAAATTTCTTATTTTTCTCTTTCTACGAGGTCATTTAGAGACCAAGAAATCAGGTAAGATTCATTAATGCCGTCATTTAAAGTTGTTGTTTTAATCTAGATGCACTCTGCGCAAAATCATTGTCAACTATTATTGATCCTCTACTGCATCTTTTGATTGTTCAATATGATTCTAAGTTAATATTTATTCCAGGCTTTAGTGTATGTTTCTGTGCAGTTGTTTCTTCTGGTTTATTCATTGTTCCATGTTTCTCCCACAGATGAGAAATTGTTTGAAAAACTGGAAAGGCTCGAAGAGAATAACCAGGTGATATTTTGGATGTTTCCTCTCTTAACTAAAAATAGCTTCTTTTTCTTTTTTCTTCTGGGCCTCTTATTCTAGCCCGGCCGTTCATGTTCTTCCTTCATAACTGCACCAGATCGATTAAGAGAAAGGGGTGATTATATCTACAATTTTGGATGGTTTGGATGCTAAGGATGCTAATTTCTAACTTGTATTCATATGGAAGTGTAATTTATTTTATCAATAAACTGTTCTTGTCGACGAGAAACCAAGGACCGTGTCTCCTGAATGCATGTAATTCCTCCAATTTCAGGAAGATGAGAAAGGGGAGAAGGAGAAAAAAGGGGACAGCGATGAGGAAGAGGAGGAGCAGCTGGAAGAGGTAGATGAAGAAAGCAGTGAAGAGGATGATTACAATCAGGTCTGCAGAGTTTCACCGACGATTTTATTTTATTGCTGCACAGTTCATATCTTCGGCAAAATAATAATCACACCATTGTTCATAGTAAGATGGGCATGAATAATCTCCATGGAAATAGAAACCTTCTGGTTTGATATATCCATTAATTACTATTTTTAGTAAAATGAGACGTTAAAAATACACATCTACTTAGTGAGATAGATATGAATAATTTCATTTCCACCAGTCCAACACTCATTTGAAATGCTCATTTCCATCTGCTGGGCATGTCTTTGCATATATATCTGCAGATTATATTTATTTTTCAAATGCGGTAATTCTCTGCACTAGAGCGTATAAATTTTATCTGATAAAATATTTTTTTATAAATATACCTGTTTTAATGAGACATGATATCTCATTTTCTTTCTTCCATATGCTATAAGTTATAAGATATTTTTTCAATATGAACATATTTTTTTTCCTGTATATGCATTTGGGAAAGAACTTTGACCTTTTGGGATTGTCTGCAGAACATTGACTTTGATGATGACGAGGATGATCTCAACATGGAGGAAGAAGAGTGTAAGTCATCCAATGATTTATTGTATTTTTTTTAATTGCCCAAATTATATAAATTAATTATATATAAAGCTTCCACTGGACCCGTGGGGGATGATGCTGCCTGATTTGTAATCCATTATTTCCAGATGAGGATGCGTACGAGTGATGGATGCTACGAGGAACCTGAATCAGAGAATCTTAGCCGTCCAATCTAATGGACTCCTGAGCTGGGTCTAGGAAGATTTTTTTTTCTACTTTTATTATTTAAATTTCGGACTCCACAGAGATGAATTCAACGATTTCTTGGTCGTAATAACTGTGCATGTGTATATAAAATTGGGCTGCTTTCAGTAGGGCCTTTTTTTGTAGCCCAGTCAAGCCTATGACATCGGCCCAATAAGCCTGATTAAATATTTTTAATCGAATTATAAGTTTCTGTCTTACTCTTAGTAGAAAAATGTTCCTCTGATTGCTTGCCAAGAAATTATAATATACACTGCTTTCATCATCAACTTACATAATATATAGCCTTGAAATTTGTACTTCACAAGCTACGTTAAAGTCACCTATTAATTTAAATAGCTTTAGCTTGATTTTAATCGCTAACATTGGCATGCTTTAGTCATTGGATAAGTCCATTCGACACAAAGTCAATCAAAAAAAAAAAAATCATCAAAGAATTCGTAGATATCATATTTAAACTAAATTCCAATTGATAGTAATCTAGCAAGCCCATAGCCAAATAGGTACCATTTAATTTATTTTCGTTTCTAAGCATAATAGGTAAATGTCAAAAGGTCAAAACATAAGTTTATAAGAAAGTGCTCGCATTCCACATTTAATATTGTTGGGAATGAACTTTGTGAGAGAAAATCCATCTAACCAAAGTCACTGAGATAAGACATGTCATTGTTGAACATATGTAATGGATTCCAGCATAACTCTTTAAAAATGACGTTAATCAGATCCCATAGTCACATATTTTGAAGTATGTGAAGAATGTCAATGTCATTTAAATCTTTAAATTATTGAATTTTAATATCCTACACAATATTGTTTTTTTTAATTAAAATGTCGCTGTGTTACACTAGGGTTTGATAATATCTTAAACTATCTGGAAGGTTAGGGCCAAAAAGAAATTGGAGTGATAAGGCCTAGATATATGATCTACAAGACAAAATCAAAGAAAAATAGTGGAAGACTAATAGATTATGGGTTACTAAGTGCTATTCATGTTGAAGCACTTGTAGAAGAAATATTTCTACTGGGAGAACTATAGAAAAGTCTCAAAGGACAGGGGCAAAGTAGAAGATATTAATGGAAAAAACTCTGTGATGGATGCCCAGGGTACTTTTTCAATGAGCTTCCTGATCATATGTATTTATCAGCTGTGGACTGCCTAGAGAAAGCTTGTGGTTGCCCTAACACTGAGGAAAGGGAAAATGTCGCTGAAGATTCTTTGAACATTTTGGCCAAATCCCCAAAGCTTGCAGATTTGAGGTAATTTTATGGATTCAATACCTTGCATATATTACAATGTTCTTGGGTTCTTGGGTAATTTGCTCCAGCTTTCGGCAAACTCATGATCTTATGAAGCTGTTGTACAGCTCCCCCTGGTAAAAGTCCAAGTCTTGAACCCTAATTTTGGTGCACTGGATGAAAAGATTGATGCATTCTCCCGACGCCGTTGGTAGAATGAGACATTAATCGGAGCTATGAATCTTCTGGGCTCCTAGGAAGGTCCTTCCCCGGTGGGTTCAACTGTATTCATTCTGAGGAGATATGAAGATCTCTCTCTCTTTCTCTCTCTCTCCGTGTTTCTCTCTTACTTTCCACGCAGATTAGTTTTTAGAAGAAAAAAAAAACTGAGAAGGGGGTCACTAGAACTATATTTGAGCATCAATTACTATACTTGGATTCAATGAAGAGCTCCTCCTCCTGCTCAATTTCCTCCGAGGACTGAGGTAGTATCCTTTCCTACTCGATGCCGTGGAGGATGCCCTCCAGCTCTTCTTCGCGCCCCCGCATATTCGCTCCGTTTGAACCTCAAAGACCGACGCCGTGAGTAGGGCGTCGACGCCGGCTTGGTGCGCCGCGCCGCCCTCCAGCTTCACCCCGACAGTCTCGGCGAGCCGGGCCAGGCCGAGGTGGAACCCTCCGCAGAACCTGGTGAGGTACTTGACGGCGATGACCCTCCCGAGGGTCGCCCACCCCAACTGGGTGAACCCGGGGATCGTTGGTGGCAACGGCGCGCCACGGTGAGTAGCTTCACCAGGTACGCCACTTCGTAAAGCCCCTGGAACGTCACCCACCGGGGCTTGCACCGCCCCACCCAATCGCATCGCCGCAGTAACTCGGAGAGGACCTCCCAGTCGACCCCCTCTCTTCTTGCCCTGCTCAAGTCGATGCCGCTCCTCTTCAGCAGCTCCACCGAGGCCTCCGATCGCGCATCCGACGAGAGGCAACGTCGAAGTCGCGGAAGCTTATCTGCCAGGTCCGGCGCGGCGCCCGCCGTCGCCGAAGAAGGAGAACCCCAGCTGGATGAGCTTAAGATTGTCCACATTGCGCCTGACCTCTTGGTAGCGCTCGCAGGGGGACGTCAACCGCGGGTCTGGTGGAGGAACCCGGGGAACTCAGTGTCCAACGCCGCGTAGGGGCCGAGTCGAGCGCCTCCAGGATCCCGGGCAGCTCCAACCCCATATTCCGACGCCACACCTCCCTCGACTCCTCCGGCGCCGTCACCACTGCCGCACTGTGTCCTCCGCCTGCGCCCATCTTCTCTCTCTCTCTCTCTCTCAGACCTGCCGCTCCTGCCAGCCAAGTTCCCGCTTCCTTCCCGCCCTTTCTCGGAGACCGACGATGTTGAGTGGGGAGAAGACGGGATGGAGGGCACCCTCTCTTACAGCGGGTGGCCGGCGGCTCCGCCCCTTTGGGTCCGAGATGGAAGGCACAGAAACCGGTTCTCAGGGCAGTGGTTTCCTCTTGGTTGAGTTGTTTCGAGATCTACCTGGATTGCGTACTTAACCGTTGCCCCCGCCAACCATTCGAACCGTTGGAGTTTTGCGCAGGCAACTTGGCTTCGCGCTTAGGCTGCGAATTCAAACGGGGAGTCCGTATCTGGTCGGGTTGGTACAATAAGCCCATTACTCTTACAGCCCACCCGCAGAAACCCCTTTCATCTCTCTGTCTCGGACCGTCTGCCTAGAGACCCACCCCTCTACTGCTCCAAGTAGGGCAACGTCTTCCATTGATTTAGCTTAATCTCTATGTTTTCTTCTTAGCTTTCCATCTTTCTTCTCTGTTTTTCCTGTCGCCTAGGTCCGGGCAATGGAATTAGAAGATTACTTCTATATTGAGGGGAAGCAAGCCCGTTGCTTAATTCATGACATTATTGACGTATTCATATTGATCTGTCCAAAAAGGGTTTACTTAACGTTCAAACACAGACATGTGCTCTCTGAGGATCACAACAGGATCATAGTGAAGTTTACTGGTAGAGTGATGGATGTAAGTTTTACTTAGTCTAAATTATACCTCTTTGTAGGCTGTTTTGGATGTTCATTGGAAGATCATTAGTATTGAGAAAGTTTATTCTACTCTAGTCTTCTTAGTCAGTGAGTATGAACGAATATGGAATTGTCTATCTCAATGGGTACATTTTGTTTCTAGAAATAACCAAAATGATAGTTTCTTGTAGAACTCTCCACTACCTATAGGTTTTTCTTAAAATATAATAACATGGAATTTTTAGAATATCATTAGGATCATGATATAACACATTAATTTTGCAGTGTGAGGACCTCCCAACAAAATGTTGTTTAGAGAAATAATAGAACACTATTAGAAATTTCTACTATCATGTTGGCAAATAATAATTTGCCTAAATATTTCTAAGTGAGGTATTAAATATTGTCTGTTATATCGTGAATTGAATTATGATCAAACCCATGGCTAAGAATATTTCCTATGATTTATTTGAAGGAAAGAAATCAAATACTATTTATCTTTTACCATTTTCATGTAACATTTTAGACTAATCAATAATATGGTGAAACGAAATGAATTTTGATCCTATGACTGATGAAGGAATTTTTCACGGAGATTATAAAAAATTGAGCTTTTAGAGTTTACAATTAAAGGACATTACTCAAGGAAATCATAAATATGAGAAACTTTTAGGAAAAGTAGAAATATGGTCTTAATGTGGATAGCGGAGGAGTGTTAGTGATTAAATTTCCTATAATTTCAAAAAATCATGATCCAACTCTCCCTAAGTTAGAAAAAATTCGGGATGATGAATAATTTTTGAATAATGGAAATGTGTCATGGGAGGTGGTAGGAAAAGAGCTAAAACTTTATCTAGATTGAAAAGTGAAGAAAGTTTAACTACTTTACTATCTTAAATTTAATAAGAAAATTTGGAAGAAGTTTTAGAGAATGAAAATTTGATTGTTGTGGTGGAAAAAGAATGAAATCCAATTGAGAAATATAAAGTTTGAATGTGTACCTAGGAAAATAGAATAATCTTTTTTAAAGCTAAAGGAAAATTTACAAAAAGATTAGATAAGGACAAAAAAGTTGCAAGGAATAAGGTTAAATTAGTAGCACAAGGATACAATCAAATAGAGGAATAAATGGATACATAAGCACAAGTGACTACTATAGGACCATCATTTTATATTAATTTATTGTGAAAAATAATTTCGCAACAATGAAATTAAAAAAAAAAGTATATGTGAGTGAAACCCAAAGTCCTATAAATTCAGAACATTTTAATTATGCTCAAAAACTATTTAAAGCCTTTTATGGTCATAAAGAAGAGTCTTGTGCTTGATATAAGAGGTGGACATTATCCTTTTAGCAAACAATGTTAATGTAGGATGATAAATGACTGTCTCTTGGTCATTGCATGAAGAGATGTCAAATTTAATATTTATAAGTAAGCTAAATCAAGTAGCAACAATGGGTTCAAGTAAAATCCATAGAGAAGATCACAAATCTGATGATAATTTTTTTGTTCCCTAAATATATCTGAATATAAATAAAAAAATCAAATCAATGACGGAAATAATAGAGAGAGAAGAAATATTCTACACTTGATTAGCTCCAGCCAGCTCCGGCCTTCCCTTATTTGCATCTAGTCCTAGATATGTGGTAATTTTTACCTTGAACCTTTAAGAAACATTTAAGAGAATATACGAGTCCACAGATACCGAAGAGAACAGGGAAGGAGAGAGAGAACAAGGAGAGAGAGGATCTCGAAGAGAGAGAAATGACTTTGTTGGCGGGTTCTACCATTGCAACAAAAATGAACCACATGTATTACGGAAACCAGGTAAAATCAACTGTGAAAACAGGAAGACTAAGGGCTAGAAATGGATATATAATCAATTCAGTAACAAAAGATGATAAAACTGAAATTAAAATGGATTACAAATAAAAAAATCCCCTTTGGACAGGTGGATGAGGTAAACGAAAGAATTTGAAATATGCGGTGAATTGATTACTTGTTTATGTATAATATTGATTGTAAATGAAAATGGAACTAATCCAAACTCAAAACTGTAAAGAATCACACAAAAGATAGATAAAAAATTGAATTTTCCCCCTTTGACACTAGGGACAGGCAAACAAAGAAATTTGAGGGAAAGCACAAATAAAAATATTTCAAATCAATCGTTCCTTAATACGTCTTCTTATCTGATAAATTGACTGAGAAAATTAATTCAAAATGAAGTGAAAATGAGATTTTTATCATAAAATAGTATAACTTATTGAAGAACCTAAACAACATTATTCGTTATCACTGTTATGTTTTAAAAATCAGAGTTATAGGTTGTCAAATAGACGAGACTCATGCCTCTCTTCTAGGTTAACAGTTTTGTGTGGCCAAGGAATATTCAGATAAATATTTCCCGATTAAAGTTGCCCTAGGAATATCTAATAGTTTCTTATTTTCCTTTGACCAAATTTTTTTCTTGAGAAAGCATAGAACTAGATAACTGATGTGCAATTACTGGATCATCAAAAAAGTTTTTAGAAAATTAGATTTCCAATTTCCCTACTATGGTCAATTTTAATTTTCTTAATCCTTAATTCCTTCTCATAACATGTTTTCTTATTAAAATTCCTTAAAATTTCTAAATTTCCTAGCAGTGTCATCTTTATTTTCTAATAAAATAGTTATATGAGCCTTGAGTAAGCATGTACTATTTCAAACTCATATCTTTGTCTACCAAAACTTGACACCTTAGTTGGTCCCGAAAATTTGTGTAATGGTTCTAATGGTTGACTAGTTATGACCATATCCTTTGATTTCTGAGCGTTATTAACTAAGTTTCCTAAAATGTAAGTGTTACAATCAAAGTTTTGATCTAAATATAAATTTAATATTCCACTCGCTAATTGCAATTTCAAGAATTCTTTTGATTGTTCCAATGCTTACTTCTTTAAGTCATTGATGTCATAATTTCATCAAATTTCTGTATTCCTACAAAACTAAATAGATGTTTGATTTCAATAATTCATGATGATATACAACATAAACCTCATTCTTTCTTCAAGCAATAAGAATAATGTCAGTTTTAGTATCTTAAAATCAATTATCACACAATTGACTAATACTAATTAGATTACAGGTTAAACCTTTAACTAGAGGTACTTTTAAAATTCTAGTGTGTTGATTTATTTTATGGTTTCCATATCTTAGTTTTTTTCTTTTTCATTACTACCAAGGGTTACATACTTTCCTTTATTGATTTTATTGTTTCTTCATACGGAGATGACGCCCCAACATGATAATAGAACTTTGTTTCGTGACCATTGTTCGTTCGAAGACCGATGCCACAAGTGAGAGCCGATTTCCTGTCGGCTGGAGCATCTCTCTTACTCTAGCTTTTCTGTAGATTTATGGTTCAAATCCATGGACACCTCCATGCACAAAATTTTTCTGTTGATTTCTTACCATTCAAAGGTCAAAGTATTTTGTTTGTTCTCATTTAATATGTTTCTATCAATATCATTATATTTGATGATTTCGATCCTGTGTATGTTTTACTCTAAACGTGGTTTCTACTTCAGCCTATCTTATTCAACAAACTTATTGCTCATCTCTGCTGGTGCTTTCACTGGAATTAGTAGTACTAGTCACAGGCCACGGTGTTTGAAGGTTGTCGGATCTAGGCCTTCACCTCCTATCGGGTTCGGAAGTGGGATTACATTTTGAGCTGTATCGTTAACAGCTGGTCGCAGTTAGATCGACGATCTCACTTTAAGGGTGGATGCTATTTTTTATTCATCAAGAACGCTGTTGATTTCTGATCCTTCACTGTAGATAATGTCATCTCTCCTGATTGTAAGCAGGGATTCCAGCATGCGTGCAATGCTCTTCCTCAGTTAAACATTGGAATGGCAGGATTATCGATACCTATCGAAGGTCGTATGCTTCCTCACCCTAGTGTTGCAGCTACTATTCATTCACTTCCTCCAGCTCTTGAAGGATCTAGAGAGTTGAGTGCAAAAGCATTAGCAAAGCTGTGGGCTAGAGGAGACCTGACAACGAAACATATCTTACCAAGGAGAAGAATTGTTGTGTTCAATACCACGGGAAAGGGAATTATTAGAAAGTTTCTAGAGTTTCGTTCACCAATGTCGTTATTTGAGGATTTTTTGTGATCTATTTGGCGTTGTAGAGGATGCTGCAATGTTTTTCATGCTTTCAGCAAAGTTAAATTCCGCCAAAGAAAATTTAATTAGCAACTCAAATACTCATAAGGCTGCAGAAGCATTTTTCTGGTGGAATGCCCCATCTTGACAGCTCCTAAACCTGTTGAACACAAGAACGCCACCTAGAGGTTTCTGCATGGGGCAGGTTGCCCAAGAAGCTGAACTTGTCATCTCTGGCGCACATGAAAGGCTCTGCTTTGTTTGTGCTATTCTAGGTTGCTTTATCCCATATGGGAGTTCCCCATTCTAATTATTCAAAGGAAACTTGGTTCTGCCCACCCTCGCTCTGAAGCAATGCAGGTTCTTGAAAGAAAGATTCGTTGTACAGAGTTGTTTCTCTGATCTAGAAGAGGACAGAGAAGGGGACTCTTAAGGGTATGTTGTTGGCCCTGGAGATTCGTCCTGGTTCTATTCTCTATGGAACAGGTTCAGATTCATCAGTTGCTCAAAATTAAAGCCAGAAGTTTTTTTATACTCACCTTCTCAAACTTCTGATTCACCTGAGGTGATGCATTCTAGTAAAAGGCAAAGACTGGCCTATACTCCTCCACAAAGTTAAGCGTAGATGCTGCACCCTGAACTCAGCTTTGTCCGCCTCGTAAGTTAGGGCAATGGAAGGCCTTAGGAGACTGCTCCTAAGGCTAAGTGAAGCTCTCTTCTTGCTTCATGTTATTTCACACCATCATATTACCCTCTTGATCCAGTCTTTGGATTCTTATCTGCATCAAAAAAACTAGTTTAGTTAACTACTCCACCAACGAGCCTGTTCTGAGGAAGGCAACCATATCCCAATGAGGCTTATTTCTGGTCTAATCGAAGTGACTTTATTTTCTCTCTCGCGCGCAATGCATCAATATTGGTCCGTCTGCTGTGGATAGCTTTCGACGAGTCGTGTTTGATTCCTTAAGCTTTGAGAAAGCTTAGATGGTTTTTATTCACGTTGCATGCTTGAACCGCCAAGAGGATGATGATATCATGTAATGTAGTGTTTGCATGAGTTTACATGGTATTTGTTGGTTTGATTTTCATTATCTTTTTGTATACTTGTAGTTGTTGTCCTGGAAATGTGATCGACAACAGGGTAGTTGATGTTCTTGAACACATTGAGGAAATCAAGGCTTCCACTGAAACATGAAGAAATATTGAGAAATATTTCTTCATGTTAAGCACAAGTAGAAACTTTCTACTTGTGAAAATATTGGCACTTCAATCATATTGAGGATGATTGGCTTTAGATCAAATCTTTCTCCTCAATTCATAGTCCTCACTATGTTTCACGAAGCCGCAAAGACTTCTCAATCTCTCTATGTCTTAACAAGAACCAAAAGATGGTAAATAGGTTATGTAAGATCGTAGAGAAATAATTGTATGTTAGAGAAGGGCTAAAATTTATATAAAAAAAAATTTGATTCAAAGGCCTCTTTTATTTTTCACTATTTTCTCACATAAAAATCTTAAAATTAGTTAAAATTTTGGAATAGTCAAAAATTAATATTTTCCTTAAGGTGTAGATATATAAAACCAATATGCATTGCAATTAAGCGCTAACATTTATATCCAGAGCTGGTCAATTCATACGAATTGCATATGAATTTGTTATTATTAAAACTAAATTGAGATTACATCTCAAAATAAAATAATCTTTATTCAAAATTAATCCAAATCATTCCAAATAAATCACAAATATTAAATAAACACATTGAATCATGATTTGAACATGAATTATCATTACTTTGGTGACTTATGATATTTCAAAATCATTTTATAAGTATACTATGGCATAGACTATTGAGATGATTGGGATCATATGAATTCAACAAGCAAACATTTTATTTATTGAGCAGGCTAAGAAATATCAACACTACCCCACTCTAGTTCAAATAAAGAATATTGTCTATTATCTTTCACTATTGTAGGAATCTCTTAATTGAACTCTCTTTCATGCGTCTTGCACGTCACTCTTAGCAAGCCGTACAGCTTACAAGGGCGTGATTGATATTCTCCACAATTCTTTCAAAGATGAGAGCCTCTCTCTCTCTCTCTCCCTCTCTCTCTCTCTCTCCCACATAATAAGAGTAGTTTTTAGCCTTCTGCAAGACCGTTATTCACCATCTGAAAGGCAATTATTCAACGTCTGGTTGTCGTATAACGAGCATCTCTGCTACGGATGAGACTGTCGCCGTTTTCTCTTCTTGCACAGCATAAGTATAATGCAAAACACACCAAGAGAGAGAAAGAGGTGAGAGAATAGAAAACACTAGATTCATGTGGTTCGTAAGAAACCTCCTACGTCGACGTTTACACACATCTTGATCTAGAGGAATCATCTGTAACAACGCTCCATGGAATCAGAGATGGTGGGACTCCCTTAGTTCTAGACTAGGAAAACAAAACCTCACATGGGACAAAGGACACGTATGTCTCCAAAGTCAAACTTTGCTCGGGCCAGTGCTGCCTCCCCCTCCCCTTCCCCCCCCCGCCCTTTGAGACAACCCATCAAGATCAGGGAGGTGCTGTCCTCCCTAGACCCCATCGCCAGCTGAATGAGGAGTTTGATCTGCGTATACACTTATCGAAGAGCCCCAATGTGCGTATCTGATCTCCTTCCGGGTGGCACATCGGCGCTTCTCACAGATCACTGACTACCCTGGAGCTGGGAACCGCGGCATCTTGACTCGAGAAAGAAGAGAGGGAAATGGAGTTGCATGAGTGGTAGATAAACGAGGTAGCTGGCTGTTACTGTGGTGGCTACATGGAATGAGTCAAGATCTCTTGATTTCATGGACTGCCGAGGTCGCCCTATAGAGGAATATGTAGCCTTTGGTGATCGTACAATGGAGGTGTACCCCACGAAGACTTTCGCCTGCGCGTACCCCCGTTAGTCTTCTCGCGTCTCCCCGTCCACGTTCAGCCCGTCGGATCTTCCCCGAAGATGGCCCTGGTAATGCTGCTCTTACCGACGAAGGAGAGGAAGCCACTGAATCGGTGAAGGAGAGAGCCTTTATCGGTGGGTCTTATTGGCAAGGTCAACACCCCTGTACGTCAATCTGGGGGGGTAAAAGGCGGCGCCGGCGCATGCGCTTTCATCTGGCATTGATTGTTGGAATCGGTCATGATTATGAACATGTATGATAATATAGGTGTTCTCTTACATAAGAATGTACTTATTTTTCAAAAATTATTATGTAAGTTTGTGACTAACTCAGAGTTGGGTAATTATTAATCGATATTTGCCTCTCTCTCTCTCTCTCTCTCTCTCTCTCTCTCTCTCTCTCTCTCTCTCTCTCTCTCTCTCTCTCTCGCTAAAGTAAAAGCCAGGCTTTCGAAACAGCCAACTAACCCGGCATGTAAATGAACGACCCTCAACCTCCATCTCTCTCTTCGGAGGAAGCAAGCAGCCGTAATGGCGGAGCATCACCCTGCTCCAAGCGACTGTTTGCCGGCCCAACTTCTCACTGCATCCAAACCCTAAACAAGAGCGAGAAACAGTTGCAGAGGAGCACACTGACAGGGTCGTCAGCCAGCCCCGCAGGGCCCAACCGGCCACACCATTAAGTGCCTCTGACAGAGAACCCGCCTTCCCAGGAACTCGCCCGCGGCCATCCCCGCCGCAGTCACTGCTTCCCGCCGGCGCAGAAGGCGAAACTCTTCTTCCCCGGCACACACCTCGACTGCCCCCTCCTCTCCGCTGCCGCCGCCTCCTCCTCCCCATCGTCGAGGATTCCCGCCGCCAATCCGCACTTGGTCAACCTGTCAGAGACGGCGGTGCAGCTGAGGTTCCAATTTTAAGGGAAGAGGGGAAGAACGATTGATTTCGTTCATGGTGCATTACCGATCTTCATTGTAGGAGGACGATTTCTTCAGACCAGGCCCAGTCGCCGCCGCAACGGTCCTGTCGCCGGCGATGGACTCCACAATGCTCCCGCTGAAGTATTCCTTGTCCTCCAGCTGCGGGTTGCCGAAGCGGGGGTTCTCCGACATGTAGTGGATCTCCTCGTCGCACTCCGCCGCCGCCGCCCGCCGGCGGAGCCCGCCGCCCTTGTGGAGGCTCCCCAAGCTCCTCCGGCCGCTAGTGTTGGGAGTGCTCAAACCAGAGCTTGGCGGCGGCGCCGCCGCCGTCGCAGAGTCCTTCAGCAGGCCACTTCGGACCTTTGCCACCGCCGACCCGCAGGCGATCAGCTGCAGGAGGATGGAGCTTCGCGGCGGCCGGCAGGCCTCGAGTCCGTCGCCGGCGGCGATTCTTCCCTCGTCGGCGGCGGTGGCGGGCGGGTGGGGCTTCTCGGAGGAGGAAGAAGACGGCGGGGAGGCGTCTGCTGCGTCCATGGCCAGCTCGGAGTGATGGGCGTCGCCGCCGCCCTGCCGGGGAACGATGTCCTCCGCCTCGGGTTCTTCTTCTTCTTCCTCCTCCTCCGCCGCCTCCTCCTCTTCCGCTGGCGGCGCCGCAAGGAACGGCGGCCTCTGCGCGCCGAGCTGCAGCCGCTGGAACCCTTCTGTCGACAAATGAAGCAAGGGCGAATCAGAGAGCTCTAAAGGACTGACCTTTCTCCATGGAAACGATGGCACTGACCGGAGAAACCTGCTGCTCCTCCGACGACGACGATCTCCGACCCCTTGAGGATGTACTCGTCGTCGCCTTCGGCCGGATGCACCACGTCGTCGCCGGCGAGGTCGTTCCATACGTACCCGTTCTTGTACCTCCTTCGCAGACCAGAGAGAAGAAGAAAGAAGACACGACCCGTGAGAGAGAGGAACAAGAAGAAGGGGATAGAGAGAGAGAACCAGAGAGACGGCGGCGGCGGCGGCGGCACCTTTTGCAGGACCAGGAGAAGAGCGACGGCATCCCCTTGCCCCTCAGCGCCGTCAACCTTTCCGTCACATCTGCAACCATTAGACATCAAAAACAGAGGTCAACCCGCCGGTCGCCGGAGCTGGGCGGAGAATGGGGGCGGCGGAGGGAGGACCCTTCAGGCGGAGCAACTGGTTGCGGCGGCGGGGGACCTCCACGAAGTGCGGCTGCTCCAGCTGCCCGTTCCTGCATAGGTAATAGACCACCTGCACCTTCCTCACCGGCCTCTCCCTCTCCCGCCGGCCATGGCCGCCGCCACCCGCCCCCGCCTCCATCCTCCTCCCCGCGAGCCCCTCCTGCGCCGGGAGGTATAAATCCATGGGCAGGGCAGAGAGAGAGAGAGAGAGAGAGCCGTTGCAGTGCGGGACAATGGGATCAGCGAGGAGGATTGGTAGGATGACGAGTCGTACCAGGTGATTAATGGAGGGGATGAAGAAGAGAGGAGGAAGACCGTACCTTGATTGACCTCGGGTTCCGGCAACAACGGTGAGGATCGCAGGAGAAAGCCCACATGCGGATCCAACGGATGTTAGACAGAGAGAGGAGTGGGCTTATTGGCAGAATCCAGAAGCTGGGTCTGTCTACACATAAACCGAGAAATTACATATAATATTTCGCATTATTTTTTTATTCATTATAATGAAATTAATTAGATCCATCAATGATCGAACAAGTCAACTATCTATCTCATACATTTTCATTATTTATAATTATTCGTAAAATTATAATTATTGACCATAATTGCCACAGTTATGGCTCTCAGGTGTCACCATATTCTTAATTTTTTCATTTAATAATGTCATAAATTATGTTAATTAATAACACAATAATAAAAAAAATCGTGAAAAATTAGATGGATGGAATAATTAACATGATGCCGAATAATGAAAAATAAAAATGTTCAAATTTAGAGGTGGGGCCCAGACGGACCAATGTGGGACCCATTTGAAATGGTGGGCCTGATTTTTCATCCGATTATCTAGAATTTAACCTTACCCAATAAGAGAGAGAGGCCCAATAAGATTGAAACCAGAGGAATCTGATTATCAATTAAATAAATTTATTTTTATTTTTATCGTAATATTATTTACGACATAGGCATCTAATTTAATATAATATTAATATAAATAAAATATATTATTTATTTCTTATAATGATTTGAAAAGACTATAGAAGCGGCGGGCAGATGAGAAGCAGATCCAAACACGCCACCCCCCCCCCCCTCCCCCCCACCTTCCTCTGCCGCCCAGTAGTCGAGCCCCAGATCGGAGCACCTGCCTTGGCTCTCGCTGGACCTCACTAAGTCCGATTCTGATGCTTATCATTCGGTGACTGTGTAGGGGTTGCCATAGCGAGCGGTGACTACATCCATTTATTCTGTTCGGCGCAACAACCGATGGGCCCACTACCGCCGTTTTTCTCTTTCCTGATGCTGAGAATTGACGATGCGTACGTGGCCGATAGAGAGTGTGCCTACGTGGAATTTTCAATAAAGTAGTCCGTGTCGGTCATGTGACCACCGACGCCAGCTGTTCGACCGCGGTCTTCATCTGTCTTCTTCTTCCTCTTCTTCTCCCCCCCCCCCCCCAACACCGCGCCGCCGCATTCTCTCTCTCTCTCTCTCGCTCTCTGAATCCGAGCTCCGAGTAGGTTTCTGGCAATGGCGTCGGCCGCAGTCCGGTTTCTGCTCGTGGTGGCCATGTGCGGAGTGGTGGCGCTCCCGTCGCGAGTCGCTGGAGCGCGACCAGTGAGCGGCGCGGGGTTCATCGTCGAGGGCGGCGTCTTCTGCGATACATGCCAGGCGGGATTTGAGACGCCGGCGAGCACCAACATTGCAGGTTAGAGTTCTCGTCCTTGGGAAATCGGTGGGGGTTTGTGGTGTGGGAGTGGATCTAGCTCAGATCTGGGAGGTCCGCGCCTCCGCCGCTGTGTTTTTGGCTCTCTGGCGGCAGAAATACGAGTGAGGATGGTCGGATTTGTCCGGTCGATGGCTTCTCTATGCATTCGCTCGGTTTGATTTGATTTGATTTGGTTGGGAAAGCGGGAAAATCGACGATCCGTCTAGAATCTGTGGCTTCCTCCGTGTCGATGTGAAAGGATTTGTGGTATGTGACGTAGCTTGTCTCCGTGGAAATCGCAGGTGCGAAGGTGCAGGTGGAGTGCCGGGACAGGGAGAGTGGAGTCGTGAAGTACGTCGCCGACGGCTCGTCGGACGACCAGGGAAAGTACAGGATCTACGTGGCCGGAGAACATGAGAACGACATCTGCGAGTCGGTGCTCGTCAGCAGCCCCGACCGCTGGTGCTCCTCCCCGCTGGCCGGCCGCGAGCGCGCTCGCGTCGTCCTCACCCACCACAACGGCGTCGTCTCCGACAAGCGCGTCGCCAACAACCTCGGCTTCCGCAGCAACTCCGCCTTGGCGGGCTGCGCGGAGGTCATGAAGGCCTACCAGGAGTATGACGACTGAGCAAGCAAGCCAGCCGCCTCCCATGGCTATCCATCAGATATCATATCTATACGTACTCCCCGATCAAGAGGTACTACTCTCCGCGATCCGATTGTTGAAATATTTCTGAATTTCTGGCAATATCTTCTGGTCCTCAGCAGACTGAGCTGTCGATCGGATTTTCTGTCGAACTCCTTATATGTTGATGTGATCAAGTCGGTTTGATTCTAAGCACTGTCGATGTGAAGATCCTCCCTGCTTCCAATCCCTCCTTCCCCCCATATCTTCCGAGAAAATCGGATCGTCCGCAGAACAGAGAGTAGCTAGGCTCTAGAAATGCCCTCCTCAACTCCACTGAATCTTCTGGTAGTAGAAACCATGCCCATGGGGCACGCGTCCATCCAATTCCTCGACGGCGCCACCGTCGGACTGTCTCCTCTGGTAGCGGCCGCCGTCGGCCTTTGTCTCCTCCACCTCCGCCAAGAACACCCCACACACCGGCCGGTGGTCGGAGAACCTCGACTCCCCCCTGATGTACGCCAGCTGCTCTATACCCTTTCCGTGCCATAGAATCCGATCGCACCTGCTCCCAAGAGAGACACAGACAGAGATTAAGAGAAGTGCTGTGAGCGTTTGACCAGATGGGGGGGGTGGAGGGGAGTTCACCATGCCGGAGTTCTTCGCTTCTTCTTGGAGCTGACGGTCTCTCCGGCATAGCTGTCCGAGTTGTGGGTGTACTTATAGGTAGGGGCGAAGTGGATCTTCCCTTCATTCCAGCCTCTGAACACCCTCCCAGCCTCCTTCTCCATCACAAGCTACCATCACCACCAACAGAGAGATCACGATGAGCTTCTTATGGCCTAGTGACGATGAATGTTCTTGAGAAAAAAATGATATTTTTGGAAAGAAAAAGAAAAAAAACTCTCCATGGATGGCTGGATGGATTGATTGAGTACCTGGTCCTTCTGGAGAAGAGCATCCCAGTCGTTCTCCTCTAAGAGCGTCTTCGTCTCGGCGTAGCTCAGCGCTACGCGGTAGTTCAGATCCCCGAACCATATCACCCGGCTAGGAAGAGAGAGAAAGAGGAGAGAGAGAGAGAGAGAGAAGGGTTTGGTCAGAGAAGAGATATATATAGATGGAGGATGAGAGAGAGGGATGTACTCGTGTTGAAGGATTCTCTCGGGAATCATTTTCAGAGGGGACTTGCAGACTCTGGGGAACTGGGTGTTCTTGAGGATCTCTGCAACGTCCAGGTTCCTCCTGAGCTCGTCCCCCTCCTTCTCGCCGGAGGCCAGGTGGCTGCAGACGAAGCAGAAGCTCGTCTGGTGCACCGACATGCTTATGGCGATGCACCCCTGCGAGTAGGGTGAGCTTTAATGGGCGCCAGGTTGACGACGATGGTGAGAGAGAGAGAGAGCGGCCACATTTCCAAACATACGATTGCTACGATTTACCCACTAAAGGAAAATTCATCTTCCAAAGTCCTCATCTAGAGAGAGAGAGAGAGAGAGGACCCATAATCCCCAAAGAAACGATTGTTATGAGCAGATTTTACCCACAAAAAGGAAAATTGAAATTTCAATATCCTCGTCTAGAGTGAGACAGAGAGAGAGAGAGAGAGAGAGGACCCACAATCCCAAAAAGAAACATTTGTTATGAGCAGCTTTTATCCAAAAAAGGAAATTCATTTTCTAAAATCCTCATCTAAAGAGACACAAAGAGACAGACAGACCTTGTTCCCGAGGCGGCCCATGATGCCTCTGCCGACGGTAGCGGACCGGAGATGGCCGACGTATGGGAGGAGCTCCCGCCGGACCCAGACGGAGAGGAAGATGCCGACCATCTGCTTGCTTGAGATGAGGCGGTAGGCCGCCTGGTGGCGCCGCCACGGTGGCTCCGGCGAGTCTCCGCCGGAGTCATCGTCGTCGTCCTCCGCTATGCCGATGAGCTCCCCCAGCTCCCTCACTCCTCTCCGGCAGTTGCAGGCCTTGAGAAGCGCGCCGTCTGCGCGGTAGCTCCTGCTGAGGAGCTTGAGGGAGGGCCTCTGGAAGAAGAGGTGGCCGCCAGAGGGCCTCTCCTCCGACGCCGCGCCGCCGCCAGAGGAACCGGCCGGGTCGGCCGCGCTGTTGAGCGCCCGGCCGATGAGGGAGAGCCACCGGGCAGCGGGTTCGTTGTCTTCCACCACCAGCACGTTCCCGGCGTTCAGCGGGACGATCTCCTGAAACCTGGGCGAGAGAGACAGAGACAGAGACAGAGACAGACAGGCAGACAGAGAGAGAGACAGAGAGACAGACAGAGAGACAGACAGAGAGACAGAGAGAGACAGAGAGACAGACGAAGAGACAGAGAGAGAGAGAGAAGTAAAGATGAGCATAGATTGAATAATAATTGTTTCTTCGTGGAATCAGAGATAAGACCCCAATTTAACGTCGACTTCTGGAGGGAGAATCAAACTCGAATATTTTCTTGATGAGAGACAGGTCATGAAGAAACCCGTGAGTAAAATCGGTCTTACCCTAGAACATAGATGTCCAAGGGACCTTCCACTTTTAGCAAGTCCTCCAGGTTAAGCCTCCCGTGTGGAGCCCTGCCCCCCACATTCCACGTCGCCACGAATATCCTTTTTCAGGTTAACAAAGAGGGAGGAAACCAGAGTAGTGAAGAAGAAGAAGAAGAAGAAGAAGTGAACGATGAGAGATCTCTAAAGGTAGCGCACCGGACGTCTTCTGATCGGACGATCTCACACATTGATCGATCTCTCACAAATGGGCAGACGCAGACGATCAATCCTCGAGCAAGAGCGCCTCTGTGATGGATAATTGAGAGCTTAATATGTTCATATGATCATATGATCTTGCTCCAAAACACCCACTGATTGCACCAAAAATGGGATCTTTAGCTCTACCCGCCGCTTGCGGTTTCCCCAAGTCTGATCCGCGAACGAGAGCTGCCCTCCTACCAGGAATACTCCTCCCCAGTCCTAGAACACAGCCATCGAATAACCCAGATGATTGAGGATTGCTAAGAAGTAAGATCATCGAGGCGAATTACGCACGACGAAGATGAGTGAGAGATGTGACTCCATCATTTCCGAGTGTAGATCTTCGTGGATGGTTCTGGCTCACCTTCTTCTTGTTCTTCTTCTTCTTATCGTAGCTGTGGCTGAGGGAGTTCGCCGGCGAGGTGGGCACCTTGGTTCCGGTCCGCCGGTGGCGCTCTCCGCCGCTCGTCGGAGAAGTGGACGACATTCATCCGAGGAGATTCGAGGGGAGGTCGTTCTTGACGGCGGCGGCGGCGATGGGAGGTTTGCGTTTTCTCTTCCGGGTGATCGCCGTAACCAGCTCGAATTCTGGCGAGGAGGTGTTGCAGAGAGAGGCGGCGGGAGGGATCAGAGGAAAGGAAGGGCGGCAACTGACCACGGAGAGCAATCGCAATCTACGCTGGATCACCAGATCTTGCCTATTTGGGACCCTCCTGCGCTGGACTTCCCTCCTCTTCCGGAGCAGTGGCGTCCTCTCTCTCTCTCCTTATCTCTCTCTCTCTCTCCTTCTTTCTCTTCATCTCTCTTTCTCTCTCTCTCTCTCTCCTCCTATCTCTCTCCCTCTCTCTCTTCATCACTCTTCTCTCTCTCTCTCTCTCTCCTTCTTTCTCTTCATCTCTCTTTCTCTCTCTCTCTCTCTCTCCTCCTATCTCTCTTCCTATCTCTCTCCCTCTCTCTCTTCATCTCTTTCTCTCTCTCTCTTCATATCTCTCTCCCTCTCTCTTCATATCTCTCTCCCTCTCTCTTCATCTCTCTCCCTCTCTCTTCATCTCTCTTTCTCTCTCTCTCTCTCTTCATATCTCTCTCCCTCTCTCTCTTCATCTCTCTTATCTCTCTTTCCACCTCTCTTCTCTCTCATATTGGTTCTGGCACTGTGAAGATCATCCTGCCATCAACCACGTGGCAGCCTGGGAGGAGAAGGTAGGGGCGGCTTTTTAGTGACAGTGAATTATTATTTATTATCCATAAAGCCTATAATTATTCGTCGAAAATAAAAGCGAAAAAACTGAAATATTTTGTTTTCACTTGGGAGGAGAAAAATGTTAATTAATCTCCGGACGGAACATACGAGTATTGCGTTTGGATCCCTACCAAACCTAGTGAGTTAGTATTAACCCCTCATTATTTATTTCCCTTGCTTTCTTGTCCCCGAGAGCCCCCACCTTCAAAAATATTAAATATTTATTTAATTAATTAATGCATAGTAAACTTCATTAAATGAGGGGTTTCGTCAAATCCCGAGAGATTTGCCGAATCTCTTCCGGCGTACGGGCCGTCAGATCTGATCGGCCGCCGCGAGGAGGGACCGCTGGCCGTGCGATTTCTATAAAAGAAGATGGCGATAATAACTATTCTTCTAGGTTCTTCACGCCAAGGAAAAAAATCACAGGTACTTTTTTGTAAAATGCGGGATTAAAATTATTTACATAATAATTTCTAATTATTTATTTTTAGTCGTTCAGTTTATATTATAAGTTTTTAGAGAGAAAGAGAGCTTTTATAGTGATTGAGTACCTCGGTGGGACCCACAAGGCCCTCCTCTCTCTCTCTCTCTCTCTCTCTCTACCCACATGCCCTCGTCTCTTTCTATCTCCCTCTTCACGGGCCGGCCCGACCGTTCAAAGTTTGACTTTTTTTGAAAGAAGGGAAGAGTCAGCGCCCGTTAGGACTAGCGGCACGTGCCGACGCCCGTTGATGTCTGTCGACGGCGCTCTGACGAGCGAGGCGCATTGGCCGGTCGATTAGATTCGCAGGAGTGGAGGCTCTGATCGGGAGTATTCTAGTAATTTTTAATAATAAAAGGGTGGAATTTTAATGTTGATAGGAAAGTATATATAAAATTATTCTTCGTATTATGTAGGGGTATAGAGGAGTGAGGAAATATGCATAGGGCCATAATCCAAACTTTTGGTATGTGCTGGGTATGAAGTGAAACCGATGAACAGAGGACTCTCTCTCTCTCTCGCTCTAGCTGGGGCGAGGGGCGCATTTCTTTCTCTTTCTTCATCTCTCCTTTGCTTTCTGCTGCCAGCCCTGTTGCAGATTCCCTCTCTCTCTCTCTCTCTATCTGTACTATCTCTCTCTCTCTCTATGTATACTCTCTCTCTTCTGGTTTTGGATAGTGGAAACTCGGATGCGGGGGTTGGGAATGGAAAGGAAGAGGCGGCGTCCTCTTCTTTCCTCCTCTGTAAGAAGCCATGGAGGGCTCCTCTGAAGCGGGTCGGGTACCTTCCTCCTCTCCCTCCTCCTCCCCGTTTGCAACCCTCAGGGAAAACTAGGTCTTCGTCGTCGTCCATGGCGGGGCTGTGAATAGGGTTTCAACATTTCTTCTGCTGCTGCTGGTGGATTGGTCGGGGTGAAACCAGTCCGTCTCCGGCGTGCGATGGGCGGCGCCACCTCCAAGTCCGGCGACGACAAGGAAGCTCTGGTTCTCTGCAGAGAGCGGATGCGCCTAATCCGGCAGGCCGTCGACCTGAGATACTCCCTCTCTGCGGCCCACCTCTCCTACATCCAGTCCCTCCGCAGCCTCGGGATCGCCCTTCGGCGATTTGCAGAGGCGGAGCTCTCCACCGACTCCTCTCTCTCCTTCTCCACCGACGAACCAGACGATTCCCCTTCTCACTCCTCTTTCGCCTCTCCTTCTCCCTCCCGCGCCGTCGCCGCCGGCAGCTCGCCGGCGGCGGCGGCCCCGCCGTCTCCGGGCGGCGGACCCAACTGGGACTTCTTCGACGGCGGCGGGGAAGCAGTGACGGCGGCTGCGGCAGCGGAGCCGGAGAGGGAAGACCCATCCGAGTTCATCACCCACCGCGCCAAGGAGTTCCTCTCCGGCATGAAGGAGATCGAGGGCCGCTTCCTCAGGGCCGCCGACTGCGGCGGCGAGATCACCAGGATGCTGGAGGCGACGAAGATCAAGCTCGGCGGCGCCGCCATGAAGGGTAAATTCCACCCGTCGGATTCTCATCCCCCCCCAACAATCTGAGCTGATTGCTTCAAGAAATCAGACTGATTCTCGTCCACGCAGGTGGCGGCGGCGACGGCGGCGTCGGTGGTTCATCTCCCCCTGGTTTCCTCTCGGCCCTGCAAATATCCTGCTGCAAGAAGGGTCAGATTCTTCCCCTGTAATGCGTTGACCTTGCGAGCTCGATCTCCGCGAGGAAGACGACGATCGTTGGCCTCAATTCTCTCCGTCTGAATGTGAATTCCTCCTCTGAAATCCGTCCGTACAGCACCGACGCAGCGCCTGGCGAAGGTCATCACGTGGAACAGATCGGCCTCGTCGGCGTCCTCATCCTCCAAGAAAACCCTCACGGCGGCAGCGGCGGCGGCGAGACCCGATCTCTGGGACGGCGGCGGCGACTTCGCGGAGGAGTTCTGCATGATCTCCGGCAGCCATTCCTCCACCATGGAGAGATTATATGCTTGGGAGCGGAAGCTCTACGAGGAGGTCAAGGTATGCATTTTTATAAGAAAACCCTTTTTTTGGTCAAAGATTTGTGATTTACCAATGAAAAATATGATTTTTGTTTTTTGGGGGGGTGGGGGGGATGAAGGCGAGCGAGTCGATCAGGAGACAGTACGATCGGAGATGCTGCGAGGTGCGGGAGCGGTCGGCGAGGGAGCTGAACGGCCGGGCGGTGGACAGGGCGCGCGCCGCCGCCAGGGACCTGCACTCCCAGGTGAGGGTCGCCATCAACGCCGTGGATTCCATCTCCAGCAGGGTCGAGGCCCTCCGCGACCAAGAGCTACTCCCCCAGCTCATGGAGCTCATCCAAGGGTAAACTAAAACCCCTCTCTCTCTCTCTCTCTCTCTCTCTCTCTCTCTCTGTCACTCTCTCTCTCTCTCTGTCTCTCCCTCTCTCTCTCTGTCTGTCTCTCCCTCTCTCCCTCCGTCTCTCGATCTTTCTCTTCTGATCTTCTCTGATCTTCTCTCTTTCTGGGTATTTGATAAACTCTCCTCTCTTAATCTCTCTCTGCTCTGATCTTCTCTCTTTCTGAGTATTTGATAAGCTCCCTTCTCTCTCTCTCTCTCTCTCTCTTAGTCTCTCTCCTCTGATCGTGTCTCTCTGGAAATTTGCAGGTTGGGTCGGATGTGGAAAGCGATGCTGGAATGCCACCACGCGCAGTTCATCACTATCTCGCTGGCCTACCATGCAAAGGCGGAGGGGGCGGCGGCGGCGGCAGGGGGGGGGCGGCGGGAGGCGATGGGGCACCTGTGGAGGGAGATGGAGTTCTTCGGGGCGAGCTTTGAGGGCTGGACGGCTGCGCAGAGGGCCTACGCGGAGACCCTCGCCGCCTGGCTCCACAGCGCGGTGGTGGCGCCGCCGCCACGGGGCCCGGTGAGGGGCCGTCGTGCGGCGGCGTTCTCCCCGCGGCGGGCTCTCGCGCCGCCCATTTTCGTCCTCTGCCGCGACTGGCTCGCGGCGGCGACGTCCCTCCCGGCTGGCGAGCTCTCCGCCGCCGTCGCAGCCCTGGCAGCGGACCTGGCCGGTTGGTGCCGCCGGGAAGAGGAGGCGGACGAGGAAGAGAAAAAGAAGAAGAAGAAGCTGCCGGCGGTATGCTCTGAGGCGGCGGAGCACGGCGGCCGGCTCCTCCTCGCCGGCGAGCAGCAGTGCGAGCAAGAGGACCTCGTGGATCATCCTCATCATCATCGTCTTCTACAGATGGGCCTGGCGAGGCTCTTTGATCGCCTGACCAAGTTCTCCGAGGCCTCCCTCAAGGCCTACGAGGACATCACTCGAACAGCCGAGATCGCTCGGGCGGCCTACGCCAGCTGCCGCACCAGGACATGACCTCTCTCGCTACCCTGACTTGTACATGTCATGCCATGAAATCCTCGCTGCTTTCTCTTTCTGACCTGACTTGTACAACATCGCCTCTGGTCGAGGGATCTCATTGAAATCGTCTCTCTCTCTCTCTCTAGTTCCTTCCAATGAACTCTTCAGAGATGAATAGCCATATAACATATGTGTAACATACAAGAAGAAGAAGAAGAAACAACAGCGTCTTCTTCCTCCTGGAAGAACTCCGAGCGCAACAAGAATTAGGGCTCCGCCGTTATTAGAGCTCCGCCGGGCAAGTCGCCGCCGCTAGTCGGAATCGAAGAGGCCGGCGGCGCCGGCGGCGGGAATGTACTCCTGGAAGCCCACCTGGCGGGTGTAGCTGGAGTAGGCGTCCGACTGCATGGCGATGGGCGCCCTCGTTGCCTCCGGCGGGATGCCAAAGGCGTTGATGAGCTGGCCGGCGACGCCCCGCACTTGGAAGCAGAGATAGTCCCTCAGCTTTTGGATGGCCTGCGTTTCAGTGGGTTTCGTCAACAGAGAGAGAGAGAGAGGCTGACGGTGGTGGGTCAACGGAGAGAGAGAAGAGAGAGAGAGAGAGAGAGAGAGAGGGCGGTGGGGGTGTACCTTGGCCTTGTTGGGGGCGACGTAGTCAACGTTCCGGTAAGTCCCGATGTCGTTCCAGATCCTGTCGAGGGCGTACAGGTCGCAGACCAGCTTCAGCACCTCCCGGGTTTTCCGGTTCGGGCAGCTGTGGCACCGAAATTAATCCAATAAGTAACAGCACGAAACGCTATTTATAGTAACAATTTCAAGCATATGATCAAAGATTAAACGGCTATAAATGGCGGGATGGATGTTTTGAATATGAATAATAGTCAACGGATAGTTGACCGTCTCCGAGATGGAGGTACTTCTTCTTACTTGTCAACGGCCTCGATGAACTTCTCGAGGATGACGGACTCGATGTGGGACTCGGCGAGGGTCAGTAGGTGGTTGAGGCATCTGTTCCAGGCGCCAAAGCTCCCCAGCGTCTTGCTGTGCTTGCGCAGGCGCATGGCGGCAGTCTGCAGCAGCCGCGATGTCCGATACTGCAGATGACAGAGGCCTTGCTTCAAGCAGAAGAAGAAACCCTAGAAGGAGAAGAGAGATGGAGGAGGAGGAGGAGGTGCTTACCCTGAAGGCGTCAAGCTGGAACTTAGGGTTCCTGAGATGGTCCTCTCCCTCCCAGCGGGAGGTGATGGGGTTGGGCTGGGAGAGGTAGGTGGCCATGGAGTCCCTCAGGTAGTTCCAGGTGACAGCGAGCGCCGTCCCCTTGAACTTCTCCTGGTACTGCTTCAGGAGGTCTCCGGCCACCTGCAACGGCGGCGAAATAAGCAACCGGCGAATCTCAGCGGCATAGAGAAGCAAGAAGCACGAAGACGAAGAAGAAGCTCTGACTCACCTGCTGGAGGAGGACGGTGTTGTCGCCCTCGAAGGTCTGGAAGATGTCGTGGTCGTTCCTCAGGGAGCCGAAGCGGTTGACGGCGGCGTAGCCATGGCCGCCGCAGGCCTCCCGGCAGACGCTCAGGGACTTGGCGGTGTAGGAGGTGATGTAGGACTTGAGGCCGGCGGAGAGGGCGTGGACGTCGGCGACGATCTCCTCGTCGTGGGTCTTCTTCATCTCCGAGTACCTGTCCACCATGAAGAGGGTGGCGAAGTGAAAGGCGTAGGCGGAGGCCACCATGGGCATGAGCTTCTGCTGCTGTGACTGGTAGTCCAAGATGCAGACTTCGGGCTGGTTTGGCGGCCCGAACTGCTGCCGGAGGAGGGAGTATCTGACGGCGATGGTGGCGCCGAGCTTGAGGACGTTCACAGAGGAGTAGGCCAGGCCCACCCGCCCCCCCACAAGCTCCCCCAGGGTAGCGGCGAAGCGCTTGCCAGCGGTGGGGAGGGAGCTGGAGTACTTGCCGTCGCTGGAGACGTCGCCGAAGCGGTTGAGCAGGTTGTCGCGGGGGATCCTCACGCCGGAGAACTTGAGAGCTCCGTTGTCCACGCCGTTGAGCCCCACCTTATGGCCGCAGTCGCGGATTTCCACCCCGGGGAGGGACCGGTGTGTCGCCAGGTCCCTGATGGGGACGATGAAGGCGTGGATGCCCATGTCGGCGGGGCCGCCGTGCCCGGCGGAGGAGGGGAGGAGCAGCCTGGCGAAGACGGTGGCGAACTTCCCGTGGAGCGCCGCGTTGCCGATCCACCACTTGATGGCGCCGTCGTTGGGGGTGTTGATGACGAACTCGTCGGCCGCCGGGTCGAAGGTCGCCGTCGTCTGGAGCCCTTGCACGTTGGACCCTGTTGAAACCCACCGCCATCACCACCAATTCGCGAAGGTGGCCAAGTCGCAGGACGAGGACGAGGGAGGGGAGCTCACCATGGTGGAGCTCTGTCATGGCGAAGCAGCCAGGGTAGTCCAGGTTGTCGATCCCGTCCAAGAACCTGTCTCTGTGTTTCTGCGTCCCCAGGTTAATCACCGAACCTCCCCAGAGGCTGAGAAAAAAAATAAAAACGGTATATGTTAGCTTCTAGCAGGGGCAGCACCACCACCACCAGTAGGAAAATACCAAATATAGAAAGATAAGACCACATCGAAGAACAGTCATGTGAAGGCAATCAGTTTGATCGTTTCATCAGTCACATTAATGGAACATCAATGAACTGTTTCCCATCTCCTTGCTGTTCCAACAAGTCAACGTCTACCCCTTGAGACCGCAGCGCTCGTCATCCTTTCTCTGACCTAATATGCATCTGAGGAGGAGGGTTTTACCCCTCCTTGTTCATCCCACAAGCGTGCGCTTCCGGCAGCGGCAAGTTCCCAAAAGAATACCAAAAGCTTCATCTTCACAGGCAGTCGTTGACTCCAAATCTAATTGCTTATGGAACGATTCAGCGGAGAATGAAGATTTTGTCCATTGAATCTCTTGTAAGAAGAACCCATTCCTGTTGAATTACCTTCATTCTCAAGCAACACCGACCCTATTCCCATTGACTTGTGGTAGGAACAAGATGGACTTTATCCGGTGAGTATTGGGCGGGGGGTGGGACCCGGTCAATGGCCTCGGTTCTGCGCAAATTCCCTTAACGACTCCGAGAAAGGTCGGTTTGATCAGATTCGCGAGGATAACAACTCCAGAACGCTTGATTCTATTGGAAGGTACGACCACGGGGGGGTTCATCGAATGGGAACGGAGGAAGGCGGGCAGGCCACGTTAGGGTTTGGAAGGTCAGGCAAGGCTCCAACATCAATCAGGCTTATTAAATCCTCAACTGGATTCCGATTGCTGTTCTAACGCGACCTTGCAGATTAGCTAATGGGAGGAAGATCTGGAGCACGAAATGATTCGCTCCACCATCTTTCTGTCATATATATGGACTAACCGGCATTGGGAACGGCAGAGAACAGGCGATGAAACAAGGGGAAAAGCGGATCCCCAGGCAGAGAGGTTGGATGAAACGAGCGATCGTATCCCTCTCTCCTTTCCCAATTTCATTCAAAGAAGGGGGGCAAATAGGCAGCCGACCAAGAAGAAACATGGGACGGAAATTCGAGGACAATTGGGAGCAATCAACGAAGAAAATTCTCAGTGAAAACAATCAGAGACAACAATCGCACCTCAATAGATCGCAGCAATCGACGGATCAAAGCGCACACAAGAGGTTTGCAGAAAATGAAGGAAGAAGGTTAAGGAGGGGGAGGATTATCGATCAAACCTGTACTGGACCCCCATCTTGATCCCCAGTGACATGTCGACGCTCCCAATCGCCCGCGTGACGGCGAAATACTTCCCTGGATCCTCCAACATAAGGCGGAACGGCCGGATATTCGCCTCCTGGACGAGCGCCCGGAGCTGGCGCATGCACAGCTCCCGGTGCTCCGCCATGGATATCTCCACAGGTGTCTGGAGGTCCGGCCTGGAGTTGAAGAACTCCAGAACCTTCTCCTGCAGGTCCCAGTGCTTCTCTCGCATGTACGACGTCAGCCCCTCAAATTTCCCCGCCGCCGGCGCCCTCAACGCCATGGCGCACGGCTCCGCCACCACCTGCCGCCGCTCCGCCGCCGCTCCGGCGGCGCCGGGCTCCACCAGGTGGAGGGACAGCTTCGTCACCCGCTGCAGCGCCCTGGCTCGATCTTCTTCCGCCCCACGATACTTCTCCATCTGCTCCTCGTCGAGATACAGCGACAGACAACGGAAACAGAATCACAGAGAGAGAGAGAGAGAGAGAGAGAGCTTGAGAGAGGTAGGCGGTTTCGCGGGTTTAAAAGCCGTTGGCTGGGGCCCCCATATGACACGTGGCGACATGTGAACAGGAGAGATGCCGGTGGGAGAGTCTTTGCGTGATGGGGCAAAATGCCGGGGGGAAGGGAGGAAATAAAAACGTGATGGCTTGTAGTAAATTGACACGTAGCATGAGGAGTCTGCTCCCGCAGTTAAACCGTGTAAATCACTTCGGAGGATGAGGCGAAAGTGGATAAGCCCTTAGATTACCCCGCCGCAATCAGTTTTGAGCCCGAAGAAGAAACCGTAGGAGATGAGGCGACGTTTGACTCCCAGTGTTTGATCTGAACCGTCCATCTGGGCTACCGGTTCCGGATAGGTATTCAACGAGTCGTCAGTATCTACGTGGCTTATCCATGACCGACCCTCGGTGACGCTGACGTAGTCCGCGGACATTGACGTGGAAATCTGAGCCGCCATTCCTGAATTCTCTCTCTCTTGAAGCATAGCCGGCAAGACTTGACTAACTATTTGTTCTCTCTCTCTCTCTCTCTCTCTCTCTCTCTCTCTCTCTCTCGCTAACGCATAGCCTGAGAAACTTGACTTGACCAATTGTTCCGTATACCCTTAACTCGTTATCTCTCTCTCTCTCTCTCGCTATCCCATAAGTATCAATCAATAGCTTTGAACAATTGATTGACTAATCGTCCCATAAGTTGACTTTCAAGTCACATCCCTCTCTCTTGTATCTCTCTCTCTCTCTCTATCTCTCGCTCACTCTTCAACGTAAAAGCTCATGCATAGCCCCAAAAAAGTAGTTTAACAGTAAGAAGCAAGCAACTTAGAACGACTATCACATTGGGCCTATGAGTTTAGAAAGTTGACTAAAATACGTCAGAGTAATTATCTCGCAAGAATTAGAATGGAACAGATTAATGTGGTAGAAGAATATCTGGGGATATCTTGAGAGGCTTGACTGCCTAATTGTTCCCCAAGTTGGGTTTTGTGATTTGGTTTCTAGAGTCATACCTCTCTCACTCTCTCACCCTCTCACCCTCTCCACCCTCTCACCCTCTCCACCCTCTCACCCTCTCCACCCTCTCACCCTCTCACCCTCTCACCCTCTCTCACTCTCTCATCCTCTCTCTCTCTCTCTATATCTTTAGTGTAAATATCGACGCATATCTTGAGAGGCTTAACTGGTTAATCGTTTCCCAAGTTGGGTTTCCAAAGTTACACCTCTCTCTCTCTCTTCAATGTAAGTGAGTAAGTGAGTACCCATAATTCGACAGATTTGGCTGACTAGTTGTTCCCCGATTGGGGTTTCTCTCTCTCTCTCTCGCTAGACCGCCATCAACATGATTGAGATCTTAAACTTCAATGGCTGCCTTGTAGAGTTAAATCACAAAGGAACATCAATTCAGACTCCCGATGGCACACATGAATTCGAAATACTTCAAGAATTATACAAAACGACGACAATTATATTTATAAAAATAATAAAAATATAATTAGTCTCAGAAGAAAGATATAATTTGGCTTTATTACTGATGATCCTCGCAGCTTTATTGGGACTTATTTGGTCGATTAAAACACTTGCCCAATGACTACATCGGAAGAGCCTTCGTGGGTCAAGAGTGGCGGACGGGGATTCATACTTGGTCAACTGGTACCGTTCAGAGAACGCTGACTTCGGTCAGATTCGGGCCCAAAGTCCAACAAGACAACGATGGATCTCTCTCTAGGTATATAATTTAGAGAGAGAGAGAGAGAGAGAGAGAGAGAGAGAGAGAGAGAGAGAGAGAGAGAGTACTTCACAAGGTCTCACGGTAAGATCATGAATACTCTCAAAGTATCTATTAAAAACACCCGCTAATTTTTTTGAGCAGATTAAATGATCATACAAACACGAATAAATACACAATTTTTTTCTCGGAACATCTGGGTAAATAATTTGCCCTTATTATTTTCTAAATACCCAGAAATAAAGATCAAGTCTTTTTTTCATCACCGTAAGAAAATAAAAAGCTGCATAAAAAAGTAAATGATCCAAGAAAACCTCATCCTTTCAGCGATCCTCACATCAATCAGCACTTTGTTCGATCATATCTCCATAACTAATTCCCAACAGATGAGATCGGGCAGTGCAAGAACATGAGGTTAAATGGGTAATTTCTTCTCTTTTTTTTTTATATCGTGGAAAACTGGAGAAATCGTGCTGTTCTGCTAAATCTCATGCCCTTCGGGGGGGGGGGACAATGCAAGGAAGAAACGACTCTTACGGTTGATGACCATGAAAAGATATCATCAGCTAGGACTCGTTGGGAACCACAGAGGGAGTCTCCGCCTCCGCATCTCTCTTGCAATTCTCTCTCAGCTCCTTCAACTTCAGAAGGCTGGATTGCTGCCACGTGGAAAATATAATTTCAACGTAAGTAGGCAGAAAGATGTGAAGAATGGGGGAAAATAGATAAGCGACCATCATTTATTTTAATGAACATTAAAATAAAACACAAGGAATGGTATAATCCCCTGCAAAAGATCTCCATTCGACTATTCCATGGGGGTTTAGCCCTGAAAGTCAATCCCTGAAACCTTTTGCTCGATTATTAACACAATAATCTTCACATTATTATTATTATTATTATTGTCATTCCATGATCTTTCTTCTTGCTAGAAATGAGATGATCAAAGACAAGGAAAAGAAATAATTAGTATAATTACTAATTTAGGATTATTAATGAGGCCCATTCTTAAATTTTTTTCGAATAAAAGGCATTTCGAAAGATTGAATCGATATATTTCTCTCCATAAATTTGTTAGACCCACTAAAAACATGAATGCGGAAACCTTCACATCATGCCAAGATATAATAAAGAACTTTGGTACTTCAAGAAAAAAAATGAAAAAGTGATAACTCACAAGCTGAGCACTTTCGCAAGTGAGAACGCTCTCAGTATGCACGAAAAGCGCTCTCCAGTGTTGCCTGAGTTCCGATTCTAATCTCGCAGACTTCTCATCGTTTCCAGCTGCTCTGCCCGCAAGATCATGAGAAGAACTGCTCCCAGTCAAGAGTCTAGCATCTCTCCTGCTTCTGTTCACCTCTGCAGCGGAGAAGAAGAAAAAAAAAAAAAAAGGGTCAAACAGAGGAAAAATAAGAAGCGAGGAAGCCCAGCTAAGAAATCATGCAGAAGATCCGCCGGGACCCACCCAATAGCCGGCCTTTGCAGTCCTGGTAAAGTAGATCCGCCCACAGATACCCAGCTGTTACAGAAGACGAACAGAGGAGGAGAAGCTCTTCGTAACCAGCTTTCAGATAAATTGGGAAGCCAATCGACTGTATCTACGTTTGAAGGAAGAAGCTACCTTTCAGGCAGAGGGGACAGGAGCAACCTTTGCCCGCGACCAGGTTTTCATGGACATTTGCGCCTGGGGTCTTCCCAGGCTCCTCAGGCAACCCAGTTGTCCTCCCTGAGCTCTGCTGCTCAGGATGCCCACTTGCCGGCTGGCTCTTGATGAAATCATCTTCTTGTGACACATTCTCCGCCAAATTAACAAATTCTATACTTCTGTTACCTGTGCCAGAGAAACTAGCCAACCCCGGTTGATATTTCTGCCCAGGAGCCTCACGATTTTGGTCAATGGTTCCAGTAAGATCAGCTGGGGGACAGAAGAGGCGCAGAGGAAATGGAGCCCAGCTGATAGAGCTCCTCTGTCCGTCTTCTCCTGAACCACTGACCAGAGAATCGCCCCTCATAACCTGGGGAGTGTGATCCGTCGAAGAAGAACGCCCTCTGCACCCATCTTGGAGACTAGCGGAGGAGGTGGGTGGCTTCTCACCGCCCGCCATGATTCCGTCCCCCTCGGATGCCCAGTTGAGTCCCCGTTTCCATGCGTCAACGCCCGTCTCGGATGTCTTCCTGGAAATGGAAGGAGACGAGTGCCTTCGGCGTCCATCCTCTGGAGTTCTTGCAGAGGCCGGAAGCTTCACATCTCCTGCCATGGCTCCGGAGTTCTCAGAAGCCCAGTTAAATCTCTGCTTCCCCTTGATGACGTTCACCAGCTCCCCGATGACCCTCTTCCTGGCGGCGGGGTCTTCCGGCCCAACTCCGGCGGGTTCCTGCTTCCTGATCTTATCATTCCCTATCAAGAACTTTCCGGGTACCAGAGGGTGGCCTCTCTTCGCGCACGTATTGCTCATCTCGCCCAGAACCTTCCGCTTGCTCGTCCTCCAGATCTGGGGATCCTCATCGCTCATCTTCTTCCCGCCAGAAAAACCTCAAAAAATCAAGAATACTCAGCGGCGATCTCCACCGCCGACCAGATCCTCCGAGTCTCGTTGTCGAGCAAGGAAACCTGGAATCATCAGGGAAAAACAAAGAGAAAAGAAAGAAGGTAAGCATATACTGATCCGAAGGAATCGACAGGAACTGCCGTTTATGTGAGTCCAGATTCGCGAAGGTCTCGGTCTCCTTGGAACCAGCGAGAAGGCAGATCTTCCGTGCAATGCGAACAGGCCGCGGGCAAGAAAAACGAGCGACGGGGAGAGGACTTCGGAGAGATGCCGACGATTCCCCGCGCCAAAACTAAGCCCACGGAGGATGTGGGCGGGAAGAATTTAGGGTTTCGAAACGGCCGCTAACCTTCTCTGATGGCCGGGTTCGTTCCGCCTCTGTCCATGAGCCGCCGCTGGGAGGGAGAGAGAGAGAGAGATAGAGGATGGAGAGCGGTAGGAGGAAGCAGGACCCTCCAGAAAAACGTGGCGGCTGTAACAAAGCGCCGCCAGAAGCGGGAGGAAGGAGGTGTTGGTGTAAACTTTAAAGATCACCGCGGTGACGATACCTCTGTAGATGGTCCAGGCGGAGCCTTGGCGCGCCAGCGCGCATTTTTTGAAAACAGAGAGCGGGGGGGATACGGATGACTTCTCTGGACCGTCCGATCTACGGATTTTGTCAGGATGCCCATCTTAGGTATTTTGATGCAGAATAGCCCTTTTAAGGAATATAATTACATATTTGCTTTATACATTAATTAATTTATATGTAAATGCTATGAGGAGAATGGGCCAAGTAATGTTCGAACTCCCTCCGGCCCAATTCTTCTTCTTCCTCTCTCTCTCTCTCTCTCCCTCTCTCTCGCTCCATCTTTCTCTCTCCCTCTCTCCATCTCTCTTTCTCTCTCTCTATCCCTCTCTCATCTCTTTCTTCCTCTTCTTCTCTTCCTCTCATCTCTCTCTATCTCTTTCTTCCTCTCACTCTCTTCCTCTCACTCTCTTCATCTCTCTCTCTTCCTCTCTCTTTCTCTCTCTCTCTCTCCCCCTTGCTTACACAATCAACCTACCTGTTGTGATGCAGGATGACTCTTTTAACGAATACATTTAGATATACACTTTATATATTAATTAACTTAGATGTGCATAATATGAGGAGAGTGGGCCAAGTATTGTTCGGACACCTTCCGGCCCAATTCTTCTTCTCTCTCTCTCTCTCTCTCTCTCTCTCTCTCTCTCTCTCTCCCTCACTCTCAATCGCTCCCCGGGGGCTGTTCATCTTTCTTTGAATAATTCGTATGTGGGTACTAACCACTAGATAAATCTCATAAACTAGAAGGGGGGTGGGGGTGAGTTTTAGCGATTTTAGTCAATGGTAGCATAAAAGTTGACTTTTTCATAAACCCTTATCCTTTCATAACGAGTTGACTTTTTGAGGCATCAACTGGTCTTGCTTAACATTAATGAGCTTGGTTTGAATATAGTTTCAGACCTAACTGCATAAGGCCTCCAATGCATGTGAGGCTGGGGAGTTGACCTTGGAGGGCTCTACTGATCCTCGAGGCCAAATCATTTGGAATCCCACGAGTTTCTATGTAGAACATCAATGCTTTGACTCTTTTTTTTTCTTTTTAACTTTTCAGATTACTATCTAGGATAAATTATCTATAATGACTTTGCCAACGTTGACCCTTGAGTTCATTGCGTCAGGAGTCAACCCATATATCAGTTAGAACATCATGGCTTTGACCCTTTTTTTTCCTTTTTACCTTTCAGATTACTATTTGGGACAAGCTAACTATAATGACATTGCCTACGTTGACCCCTGAGTTCTATGACGCTTTAGAAGTCAACCCCCGATATCAATTAGACCATCATGGCTTTAACCTTTTTTTTTCTTTTTACCTTTTCAGATTACTATTTGGGACAAGCTAACTATAATGACATTGCCTACGTTGACCCCTGAGTTCTATGACGCTTCAGAAGTCAACCCCCAATATCAGTTAGAACATCACGGCTTTGACTTTTTTCTTCTTTTTAACTTCATGGAATATCAAGCCTTCTTCATTTAACTTGTGTTATTTGCCTAAAAATACGTTCCTTTCATCGGGTCAATAAAACCGCCGAATTTTACATCCTTGTCAGATTACTACTTGGGACAAATTACCTACAATGACTTCGCCAACGTTGACCCCTGAGTTCTACGATGCTTCAGAAGTCAACCCCTATATCAGTTACGTGCCCTACCTTGCGTTTGGTTTTCAAAATCAAAGGACCCCCCATTTCTCCAGTATTGATTCCTATGCAACTCAGCACTCTGGTTTTACTGCAGGCGTTGACCGCCGACCCTCATGCGCTCACTCCTATGCATCATGCTCTCCAATTCATCTCAAGCGTTGACCCAGAAGGTCCCAAAAGTCAACGCGGGCCAACTTTTCTCAAATACTCATCTTACAAGCATCTTTAGTACATGGAAAGGGAAAAAACTAACGATGCAACAATGCCAAAATCAGCAGATCACAACTTCTAGATCTAAACCCTAATATAAGCAAGTCAACGGGCACCATACCCTCATGCAGGAATGAAACAACAGAGAGGTCCAAGAAGGGGGGGCGTGCGTACCCTCATCGTTTGGCGATCTTGCTCCCGCTCCTCGTCGCCCTCATGAACATGTCTCTGATGTTCTTCGACTCCACCTGGTCCGTCGGCTTCTTCTTCGACGGCTTCTCACTGGCCCGCTTCCCATTCCCATTTCTACTACCCTGCAAGTAATTTCATAAAAACATAAATAAATGGATAAAAAAAATCTAAGAAATAGTATGCGGGCTGAAGAACCCTACTAGTGGGAGAGAAGGTGGGGGGGGTTTCTCCTCGGCTGCAGCAGGAAGGGTTTCCCTTATTAGGGTTTTTCTCATCACGGCGTCCAGGTTCAAACTGCAGAGAATGAGAATGAGAACGATAATGAGAATGAGGTCCCTTGTCTTTTTAGGGTTCTCCTCATCAGGGGAGATGATCTCACTTCATATGATCGCACAAGGTCTTCAACCAGGCGTCGTTTATGTACTCGCCCAGAAGGGAGACGGCGTCATTCACTGCTGCACCATAGCAGTTAGTAGGTTCCACATAATATTACCAAAAAAAAAAAAAAAAAAAAAACCCATATAAAAATTCTGCCATGTGGGGTTATGATTCCATTGTGATGATACTAGAACACTGATGAGGGAGGAATTTAGGAAAATTAATTATTTTATGTGAGGGAGAAATCATTGTTGATCAGGCCATTATTTATACCAAATCAATAAGAGGATCATCAGAGCAGAAACAGAAATGGTAAAGTAGAATGTTGGCTGCAGGAGTTTAGAACACTGATAAGGGAGAAATGCAGGAAAATTATTTATTTTATATGAGTCGATGTGGATCATCAAGGCAGAAACAGAAATGGTTTATTAGGGGTTTAGAACACTGATGACGGAGAAATATAGGAAAATGAATTATTTTATTTAACCCAATAACATTGCTCTTGTTGGGTATCATACACGTCTCTGCCTCTTCTCTGGCAGCAAAATTTCTGTCCAACGTCAACAGAGTTGCTTTCAGGTTGCTTATCTGCAATTGTGGAAGAACGGAAAGATTTTAATGAAGCTTATCGGGAAGAATAACAAATATCTTATCGAAAATGAATTGCTTCTAGTAACTCGAGGTCATGGCAGCACTTTGATTTCTTCACTTCCCCATTATTTACTTCAACAAGTTCATGATTTTTCAGAGGAATATGAGAAAAATATGACGTCATCTTCATGATGAGAGATATGCACCTGTGTCAATGATTTCTGCATAAAAATCTACAAGGAATCTTCCAAGTATTTATTAGGGGAGTGGTTGAATTATGGATGGATAAAAGCCAAAGTCGAATAAAATGTTGGGAAAATAAAATGATGAAATCAAGATGCATGATCTTCTAAATGAAGACCATACCTTACAACATAGCCAAGCCAAGACTTTCGAATCATCTAGCCGGAAGAACTTTGAAGCCCCAATTTCTGCAAAATGACACACCCAAGCATAAAATTGAGGATATTAATGCCTCATTTAAAGCCTGAAAAATAAGTATTTGGCACTAGAAGACACATCGTACAGAAGTATGAAAAAATAAAATAAAATCTAGGAACATCATTCCCCTCTTGGTGATTTGATTTGGAACATCAATGTGAGGTTTGGACGAATTCTGTGCACAATCCAAAGGGAGTTTCCCTTCTCAAAAGGCTATAAACAACATGAAGAGAGAGCGCTAGGGTAGAACCAACAGTCAAAACTATTTGTCCGGAGAAATAGCATGAGATTAATGGATGCAAAGTAAACGAAGAAATCATTTTTACAGCATGTTTGACGATGAATTGTATTAAATGGACGACAAAAAGTTGATCAGATGTAAATCCCAAGATCGATGTTTATCTGTTTAAAATAACTTGCGAAATAATACGTTGCTTTTCACCTTTCACTTCGCAAATTAGTTCGATAGAATCTTTTGCAATGGACAGAAGATGCTGGTAGCCTGGATAGCCATCGACAAAGAGAATTTCATTTAGTTCCCTAAACATTCCCTGATCATGACTCTTCTGCAACAAAAAAGGGTAGAGCTAGATGATTAATAAAGAAAGTACCACAAAAAAAAAAAAAAAAAACAAGATGGGTTAGTGGATATGGCTAAAATAAAATTTTGAAGTGTCATATATAGGAATCCAAGGAGTGTATTTTTCACAATTAACTACGAGAAACTGCACTCAGATACATCCGCTGAGCATGTGGTGAAAGCAAACTTAATTTTGTACCCATTCTGTGCCATATTGTTTTCCCAGCTTGGTACTAGACTATATAATTTATTTAACTGGGAATAATGTATTAGTATGGAGGGGCTATCAATGCGCTTGTTAATCTTCATCTTCATAGTAAGATGAAGATGTTGACGTAACGATTTTTATCTCTTTGGGCTTTCATGATATGACAATCTAAGAATTTAACCCATTAGAAATCTCAATACGGAGCTTTGTGCAGATTCAACGGTAAAGAACAGCTTACCGTACCCATCTTATTTATCAATTTGAGAAACCATTGAGGAGTGTTTGCTGTAGATACGAGAAATTACTACTAGTTCTTAAATTTTGTGCATTTAAAACTTCAGAAGTCATCATACAAAAAATAAATCAGTTCTACCTTGAGAAAGGTTGGATTTTATATAAATTTGAGTACCAATGCATATCCAAATTGTTCTTTGGACCAAATGTGGACATGGACAGCGAACATATTTATATTTTTCTTCAAGATACACCTAGACATCTATAAAATATAAATACAATATTATTTCAAGAGGGAAGGGAATCAAAATAATCCGAAAAATAGAGAAAAATACAAATGCACGGTACAGTACTTTTACGCATTTTAACTTGCCTTCATTCGTGCTTCCTCAAAAACAGGTAAGAAGAGAAAAATGGGGTCAAACGGTGTTGATATAAATAGACTGGCATCTGCATCAGAAGAAACGCTATCAGGCTGAATGCGAACCATGTTTAATAAGATAAGCTCAAAGCTTAATCACAGTTAAAAGTTTGAACACACGAATGTAAGGATCACAATCCTAAATTCATGCATAAAATCATTTGAGGACGTCTGACAAAAGTAATGCATACGTAGAAATTTTGAACGGCACAAAAGATCTTAGAGCATTTACCATAAAAGTAACGTGAAAAAAACTGACGTTTTACAACTTTCTGTACAACCCAAATTACGGTTAAAAGTGTAGTTAAGAACCTGACTTAAAGGAATGCCGACATTACCTTCAGAAACATAATCTCCGATGAACCAAGAACCATATGCTTGCTTGAACCAGTGAAGTTCTTGGAGCGATTCATTTCCGAAAATGTAACACGTTGGAGTTCCTGACAAATTTTAGAATCCGTATAAGATCAGAAAATATTTAGACCGTCAGCATAGCGCAAGAGAACATCAGGTCATGGCTTGCTTAGTTTTACAAACATGACAAGATGAAAAGTTTAAAAAGATCTCAAGCTGATGGATTGGCAAAATATGTAGTCAAATTGGTTAATACTTCACCTTTCGTGCAAAATGAACTCCGATAAATACGCACATAGATGTAGATATAGATTTAACTGATTTAAATATGTCTAGATGGTTTCGATTTGATGCATACGTTAGTAACTAAACCCCCTAGAAAAAAATGAGCCAAAAAGAGTTGACAAGTGGCCTTTACCCAAAATCTATACAAAAGAGAGAAATTATATCCCAGTGATTCTCTCCGAATTATGACAGAAATCTGGCTGCAGTGGAATAGGAGAAAACGCGCACATGGACAGAAGTATGGTTTGTCACAGTCTGGTCCGTCAACACGCTTGAACAAAAATGCTAAAAAATGTGCCCTGACACTCTTTTGAAGAAGTATAGTAAATGGGAATGTAGAATGAATGAAGAAACATGGCTGCCCGAGGCGCACAGGATACGGATAATACCAGATTTTGGATGGCGCAACGATAATATGCGTCCCTCAGCTTTTCCACATTCTCCCTCATCATTTTTACTGCATGATGCTGAAAATGTTCTTCTGTCAACGACAGGCTGAAATTAAAAAAGAAATAAAACAGCAGTTCTTGTTCTCATTCAATTTGTTGAATGAGTACAATTTTATTTTGCTATTACACGGTCCCTCTGGAGGGGTTGTCAAACTAGTCTTGAGATGAGCCCATGATATGGTCATAAAATCATCCCTAGAGAGTCCCAAGTCAGGGGAGCAAAGCGGAAACTAGTTTCAGATGGAATGTTACACATCAGACCGTAGGGCTAGTGATCAACTTAGAACGCTCTGTTTGACTTATTCATCGGCATTGTGCTTCAGCTTGCGGTAATTTAAAGCATTTTTCTCGACAAGATCCATTTAATTCAAGTTATGCGACATTCAGAGAGTATTAATCTGACGACAATGCGGAAAATGAAGAGCACAGAAACTGATCCTAGGGCATCAGAAGAGGAAGAAGAAGAAGAGGACTTACAGGGGCCGATCAGGACCCGTGTCTCCCTCACGCCATCGTGCCAGGCCATTTCCTTCCGCACGGAGCAACCAGACCTCCCAGCGTCTCCTTTCTCCCTCTTCGCCTTCATCCTTCTTCCCGCCTTCCCAGGCGCGGGAAAATGGCAGCACACCTCTCCCATGTGAAAGCCTCTCATATCATGCCACGTTTCATTCCATTTTGGGTTAAATCTTATATGTCGCCATTTTGGGTTAAATATTTACTTATTACTTCTTAATCACCGTCAAAACAAAAGGTAGGCCCCATGATGACACGTGTCAAACAACCACTCGAACAGCCAATAAATATAGAAACCGAAATTAAAAATTTCCAATTAAAGATTAAATTGCTTTAAATAAATTATTAATCAGAGAGAGGAGAGAGTTCCTCGGCCCCACCTGTTGACTTTTGAAAGTTCCAGTGACAGGAATCCGGCGCTAGCCTTTCGCCACGTCACGGACTAATCAACTGATAACCACGGGATTAGGCCGTGTTGCATTATTGTGGGGCCCACTTTGCTCTCCTCCAACTATGCTCCATTGACGTCACTACGTGTGTCATCCTCGGTGGATTGTGACACGTGGCTCCTGAGTGTCACGTGTCAAGGGAACGGTTGTCCTCATCAGTTGGAGGCTCACCGCCCCCCACGTTGTCTCTGCCTGAGCTCATCCATTCAGTCATTTAGTAATGGGGATCCGCGGGGGGGGGCGGTATCATAAATGACTAATATACCCTCAATAAGTCTTGACTGCATCTCCCCCTTGGATGACGGCTTTTTCGTCACTTCGGGAAATTCGAAAGGGCCCACCGGTTGGGCCCGGGGAGTGGGGGCGGCAAAGGCTGGTGATTACGGACTGGATCGGGACAGGTGCCGGTGGGCTTGCAACGCGGCAAGAAATGACTGGTTAAATTCCGGCGCCTTCCAGAAATGGGCTGCCGAAGATTACAACATTCTGCGGTGGGATTAAGGAAACTATCACCCGTCGTGGTCAGACTACTATAAAATCCGCTGCCACTTTGTGGGAGAGTATCATACGCTCACCTTCGCATCCAGAAGACTCCAGGTCTCCTTCCTCATCATCTTCTTCATCTCGCCTCTGCGTCCCGCTCCCTGAATCACACCTTCTGTGAACTTCTTCAGTCTTCTGATCTTCTCCTCTGTTGTGTTGTTCTTGGCGAACGAAGGGGGCTAGTGTCCGTGGTGGTTTGTTCTCTTCGTTCCTGAATTTTCTTCGAGAAACTCGGGGAGTTTCAGAGAAGAAATCGGGGCCTCTCCATCCTCGTCCTAGAGTTCCTGGTTGGATCCGTCCCCCTCTTCTTCTTCGTGTTCAACGTGTTTCTGGTTTCTTCTTTTAATTTTCGCTTCGGAAATCCACAGGGGGATGGTTTCTTGAACATCCCTGGGGACTGATTTCTGTAGGTTTTTGATCGGATCTTCTCATCTGAGTCATTCCTTATTACTTCTTTGAGAGTTTCTTCGTGGTCTTCCTCTCACCTGTTGCACGGTGTCCAGAAGAAAATGGCGGCCGTGATGGATGTGTACAGTAGCATCGTCAGGACGATGGCGGCGGAGGAGGTCCTCCCGGCAGTGGAGCCTTCTTCCTTCTCCATCTCCCTCTCTTCTTCAAACTCAAGCTCTTCTCCCTGCAATTCTCCTCTCTCTCATACTCCTCCCTCCCCCTGTCCCTCTTCCCTATTCCCTCCTTTCTCTTCCCCTTCTCAGCAGTTCTTCTCCACCGCCGGCGAATCCCAGATCGGTCTGAGCTGCCTGAATCCAGCGCAGCTCCGGCAGGTCCAGTCCCAGATGGCCCTCTTCCAGCGGAAGAACGGCCCTCAGAGCTTCTCACTCAGCTTCCTCGGCCCGCCGCCTCGGTCCATGAAGAACCCCGGCGGCGGCGGCGCCGCGGGGAAGCTCTACCGGGGGGTGCGGCAGCGGCACTGGGGAAAGTGGGTGGCGGAGATTCGCCTGCCGAGGAACCGCACGCGCCTCTGGTTGGGGACCTTCGACACCGCCATGGAGGCCGCTATGGCCTACGACGACGCCGCCTTCAAGCTCCGGGGCGAGCTCGCCCGCCTCAACTTCCCCCATCGCCGCGGCAACGGATCCCCCGCCGCCGCCGACGCCCCCGCCAGGCCCCTCCCCGCCGCCGTCGACGCCAAGCTCCAGGCCATCTGCCAGTCCATGGCCAGCGGATTCCCACCGGCGGCGCCGCCCCCCTCATCCCTCGCGGCGGTGGACAAATCCCCCAGCGAGTCCTCATCGCCGCCCACCTCGCCGGAGCCCGACATGGGCAGCTTGAAATTCTCCGAGCCTGCGTGGGACGAAGGAGAGGGCTTCCTCCTAAGGAAGTACCCTTCATGGGAGATCGACTGGGACACTATCTTTTCCCCTAACTAGCGCCCTGCCGCGATCGCCATCGCCATCAACCTCGAGGAAGCTTCTGCGACTGCCTTTTTTTTATCGTCGCAGTTCTTTCCGTCGAGCCACCCGCTCGGCACCTGGGTCCTTCTCCTGATTAGCAACTTCTCTGGTCTCTTGCTGGTTTTTTTTCTGGGCAAGATCAGAGGAGGCGGTAGGTGAGCTCCCAGACATGCCATGGATCTCGGGGGAGCCCACCTGAAGGTTTTCTGGTGCGCAGTCAGTCAGCCTAGCCCTGTAATTTAAAAGTCTTCCCTTTTATTCTAGAAGATTGTGTACATTCATAACCTGTTGGATGGCAATTTCCCTTTAGTTTCTTCTGATTTTGTGGTAGTTGGTGCGGTGGAAGAAGAAAACTGGCATTCAAGAGCGGTAAAAATCTGATTTTTTTGGGTTGGCTGGGGTGGAGGTTGAAACAGTGGGTATCGCGGACGAATCTCTGACAAGAGATCTTGTGTCAGCGAGATGTTCGAAGATATGCCGCAAAGATCTAAATGAGAGACCCTGGCTCCCCTGGGACTCTCTCTCATTCTCTCTCTCTTTCTCGCTCTCCCTATCTCTCTCTCTTTCTTGTTCTCTCTCTCTCTCTCTCTCTCTCTCTCTCGCTCTACGCATGGTGAGTGTGTTTGGGAAAATGCCGCAGAGACCCGGAAAAGCAAGCAGCTGTATCGCTTTCCTCCCGGCGTAAGATGAGCTCGCGGAAATTCCGGAAAAAAGATACGGGAGGTTGGGAACTTGTTTCTTTGCGGAACCGAATTGTTTGACGATGTGCCGCAAAGAGAGTAACTCATTAAATAACCGGCCGTCCTTTTCAGGTACGCAATCGGAGCCTCTGTTTATTTATGGTCGATTTAAATAATATGACACCGTTGACTAATAATGCCCCGCCCGTCGAAATCAGACGGCCGGATTGACAAGTGGCTCTGAGATCATCGACCCACCTGATCTTTCGATCACAAGTGGGATAGGTCGATCAATCTAGATCATGGGGATTGTGACCAGTTTGATCTTCGGTCGTGGTCGAGGGGGGTCTGGGGATCGGGGTGATCTTGATCATGATGCAGCTGGCGATCTGATCCTGGCCGACGGGATAAGGGTTGGGAGGGACCGAGTGATTGATTCTGATCTCGATCAGGATCAGGGCAGGTTGGAGGTCTCTCTCTCTCTCTCTCTCTCTCTAATGTGTTTTAGCTCCGTGGGAAGGTGCAGCCACGTTGTCTTTCGGACGTCTTTCTCGAAAGGAAAGGAGTCCATTAGAGGCGAGAGGATGGGAGAGGGAGGAGAAGAGTTTTCTTCGTAATGCTTGCCCTTACGCGGGGAGAGAGAGAGAGAGAGAGAGAGAGAGAGAGAGGGAGGAGAAGAAGAGTTATACAGCAACAAATGTAGAGAGAGTGACCCGTGCGGGGAGAGATGGAGGACGAGATTGACGGAGAGAAAAAAAGTGTTATAGACCGAGAAATAGTGTCACGTGGCGAGAGATGGAGAGGTTGAGAGATTGGGAGATAGAGAACAAGCGATATCCACAGAGAGAGAGAGAGAGAGAGAGAGAGAGAGAGAGAGAGAGAGAGAGAGAGACGGCTGTGGGGGAGACTGCTGCTTGGGTTCTGCTTGTCTGTCTCCCAGGGAGAGGAAGTGGTGGGGCAAACGTCCCAGCCCCACCATTTGAAGGGACGGCGCCACCACAGGAGGGGAAGGCCAGCACAGGAATCATGCCACGTCGACATCGTCAACCTAGGATCCAAGATCCGAATTTTATTTATTATTAGGATTTTCCTTTCATTTAGTTCCTTTACCGAATTCTTGACCCTATAAATAGGATTAGCGCTCTAATGGACGGTTTTTTTTGGTGAATTTTGGAGATTTGTACATCATTTTCAGCATTTGCCTTAAGGTTTCCTCTCAGCCGCCGCCGCCGCTAAGAGGCGACCCTCCGGTACCCGTCCGCCCATCACGAGCGCATGACTCCCCCTTCCATCCACCCGTGATCCACCATTCGAGAGCGAGCATCCAGTTTCTCTCGCCGCCGATCGCACCGTCCACCATCTGGCGCGTTGTTGTCTACCGCCGGCGGTAGACGACAACATTCACGACGACGAGTGTTGACTTGTCGTGAGGCCCCGCTTTCAAGTCGTCGGCAGCCGACGCAGTCACGCGCCCTCGGCCGACGCGCGCGTGACTCTCCCCCGCCGCACGTCTGGCCATTTCCCCTCGCGCGCGACGATTCCCGCAGCCGCCCGTTTCGCCACGGGAACGTCAAGATCCTCCACTGGGAGAGCACGCGGAATCAACCCCCCGGTTTAGGTTTCGGGGCGCTGCCCCGAACCCCACAAGGGGACGGCTTCCCCCCTTGACCCCCCCCACCCCGCCAACTGACCGCGCAGTTGGATCCGCAATCCCCTCGCCAAAGAGCCCGGTTCAAGATTGAAGATTGATCAGCAAGGTTTCCAGTCTCCGTCTTCCACCCTCACGCCGCAACTCGAGGCTCGCCGCACCGCCCCTCGCGCTGTATCGGCGCTGAAGGTCTTCTCTTCACTCTTTGGTGATTCATATTATTTCATCCAATATTTTCTTGTGTGTTTTTCCTCCGCCATCGGATTTAACGTAATAGATTTGTCTTCTCGTGGTAAATCATCCGGGATTTTGAATTTGGAGCTTTACTTATCGTGGTGGTTGTAAGACAGTACTCCCGCCCTCGACCGAGGAACGGGGCTGCACCATCATCATTTTTCTCCGGATTTAAAGGTTCGAATCGATGGTGTGATTTTGTGGCTTGATTTATCCACCCCTACATTACCCTTAATCAACCCCCTCTGTGTCTGTCGTAGTTATCCTACATCAGGAAGAGCACATGGAACACCCGGCCATGGAAGGCACGGGGAGCAGTCTGTTTGTTCAGTCCGTCACTAATGTGGGCCGCGTGGAAAGAGTCGGCCGGCCGTTGGCCCCTCGCATGCTCGCCACCGGAACGCCATGGAAGAAGAAGAAGAACAAGAAGACGACACGGAGAAGAAAGTGAGAATCTCTGAGAAGCCTCATCACTCCTGCGCGGCAACTTTAAGCAGGTTGCTTTTCTTCCCAGGATTCCTTTCCCCCCGTGTCCCTGCCACATTCTCTTTCCGTTTCTCTCTCTGGCTCGAGAGTGCAATTATCGTGATATTTGGTGCTGTGCACGTTCCTTCTCTCCCTCTCTCTCCCTCTCCCCCCTTTCTCAAGCTCCATTTCGTGACAGGCAGAAAATCAAGGAGATAAAGATTTAGTAGTTCCAATCTCCCCCCCTCCCTCTCTCTCTCTCTTTCTCTCTCTCTCTCTCACTCACTCACTCACTCACTCGCCAACTCATGATAGAAAAAGGGTAATACTAAGGAAATCACAAGACTTTGGGTTACATGCGGCGCTTAATCATACGCTCATACACTCGCAATTTACGGTTCATGAGGCCAACAAACAGCCATTAACGATCTCTATACCGTACAAAAGCATCTATTTACAGCAAAAATATCACCATTGGGGTGCAGAGCTGCCATCCTTCGGCACCCCCCTCAGACCGGTGATCATAAAAATAATTATGATATTTCCAATATTGAGAATCCAGGCTATACACCGCGAAATTCTTGACGGGTAGCAAGAAAGCGAGGAAGAAGAAGCAACAGGTGCTAAAGAATCACGGAAGAACTGTTCGTTCTATCCTCGCCCCCTCCTCCATTCTAACCTCGTTGAGACGCATACTCATAGAACCACCCCCTGTAGTTGTACTGAGGGGCAGATAAAAGGAGAGATTCTCGATGGGGTTGTCTCTCTTGATCCCAAAAAAGCCAAGATTGCCGCTGTGTTGAGATGCATGAAAATGGGATTCTTAGATCCCTTGCTCCGAGCCAGTCTGGGCGTCAGAGTATGCTAGAGATTCTGGTCTGGAGTGCAGAACCAAGCCAGATGCTTGGAAAATGCTCGCTGAATTGATTCGTCCAAACGGGAGCGAGGGACGACGAGGAGATGAATCTCCGTCTCTTCCATGTGGGCCAGATAACCCACCGCTTTGAAGCAGCCTGTGACTCGCTCAAACTCTCCAGGTTTCAGGTCGGAGGACGGCTCAAATCATGTGTTGGGATGAGGTGATTACTCTTAGAACTCCTTGGTCAGACGTTTCCCATTCAGGGTAGAGATATGCTTATTGATTTAAAATATACTAAACTTAGAAGAAAAAAGGCCATTAAATCTAGGGCATGCTGGAAGGCAATGGTTTTGATGCCCTGTTTGGGATGAAGATAGCATGCCATGGAAGGGTTTACTTTGCGGACTCGGAGATCTGGCATGACCCAATGATGACTCTATTCTGGACCATTGGTCAATGCTACGTAGAGTGGATGATTTCTTGATTACATGCCTTTATCTTACCTTAATATCTACCATTAGGTTTCTTTGCGTTTTTCTCTTCATCTACTTGACATATACTCCTACTGTTAAGTCTGCGAAGACAATAACTATATTACATGGGGGGGGGGGGGGGAACTATATTACAAGGTCAGGATTAGGATGGGCTTCGTAAATCGTTTGATCCTAATAAGTTGATGAAACATGTACTGATTAGTGGCCAGATTAGTGATCTTCATAAAGTTTCTTTAAAAGTCCTAGACATTTGATGTATAATTGGTTTGAAGGAAATATGAAAGGCACTAAAAGGCATACCTTAAGGAATCTTCTGAGAGTTGACTTTGGGCGGGTTGGGGGGGGGCGGTCTGAAATAAGGCCAATCGTAATTTCCTAGAGAGGTGACATGCCCTTCAAGAACTAGTGGTACTGGTGACTTGGCGGCCGAAGAGATTGATGTCATTCAATGCCTAGTTTCTGATAGTAACCCAAATCTGCCATATAGGCCGCATCATGTGAGGAAATACGTGAGAAGGTTTTGCAAGGTAAGTTGATGGATGTCACATCATCACAAGCAATTTTTCTATCTATGGAAGAGCGAAACAAACCCCGTT